ATTTTACAAACAGTGGCTTCAAAAAGGTTACTGCAGATTATAACTTCTACCTAGACCGGAAGAAATACCCTACCTGGCTGTTTTAACATAAAACTATATTGGTAGTTGTGATACCCATCTGTATCTCTCAAATCGTTTACATAAACTACAGTAGTAAGAGTAGTTCCTGGAGTGATCCTTCAATAAACTAGTCCTTCAATAAAGTTAACAGATGCAGCAGAGGATAAATTTTACTGCATGGAGAAAAATACATGTTGTGATTAAATACTTTAAAAATGGTCACATTAGGGTATATTGAAGTTATTGTCCCACAGTCCATCACCAACAGTTAGAAGAGGCTGCTAGGAGGAACATTTTATTATAAAACATAATTTTTAATTATCTGGTATTATTTTCTATCACTTAGAGGAAAAGCTTTCATTTTCTCTAAGCATTTCCCTTTCAATTAAATTAAAATATAAGAACTTCTGGGTAGTAATCCAGATGGTTTAGTAAGTAAAACATAAGTATTTTCTTCTGGGTGTACTACCTTTCTTTGGTAGTGATTTTTTTCCTCTTCAGCTTGTCTTTTAAAATTCCTTAAATATATTCCCTCTTCTTGTTGCTATAGAACAGGCTGGATTCCTTTTCTCCTTATGCTTCTTTTTAAACTTCCTTTTCCCTTGCTTTCCTCATTACCCTTTCTTTCCTTGTGTCTAGTTTTATCTCTCCTAGATTAAGACAAAGTTTATACTGGGTTTAATATCAACATGGCATCCATGTGGATGCAGAGGAACACTACAGCTCAGTGTTAGCAGGTCACAGAAGGCACAGGCTTTTTGCTAATCCTTAAACTGTGGCATGTGCTCCAAACACTGTGACAGCCAGGTGAATCTTTGCCCTTCTCTGTTATCCATTAGCACTGTCAGTCCAGAGCCCATGGAAGCTGAAGAACATCCTCCAGGTTTTGCTTGCTCCTGACAAAGCTCGTCAGCCATAACGCCACAAAAGGAACTTCTGCATTTCCACTGCTAAGGGTGACAGTAGGATATTCATTTATGCCCTATCATAGGTGGTCCTAATACCACTGAGCAGTGTTTAGTGATTTGTGGGTTCCTGTTGGTAACTGTCCTCTCCTGATCCTCAGCTGTTTGTGTAAGGGCCGGTGATGTGCTCCCTCAGTACCACCTGTAAAAGGAAGAGGCAGAAACAGAAAAGCAGTCAGCTCTTCAAGAAGTGTTTGGAAAATGCTGTCAGACACATGGTGTGAGTCTTGGCATGTCCTGTGCAGGGCCAGGAGTTGGACTTGATCCTTATGGGTCCCCTTCCACAGGGAACTGTCCATCCCACCGATGGCAGCGCTGGGCTTCCTGGTGCTCAGGACATGAAGTATAGAAATGTTGTAGCCAAAACCTGAGAAACTAGGCTGAGCCTTCAGTGGAATGATGTCAAGCACAGGTTTGGTTGGGAGATGTTCCTGCTTCATCTACAATTCTTCCAAGCACTGTTTGTACAGGGAACAGTAACAGGAGCACTTAACAGTTCCAAGCTGTTATTCCAGTCATTTTTTCTCTGATACAATGCATGGACAATCCCCCAAGTTTGCACACCCTTAAAACACAGACCTCTGCTGCACATGCATGTCTGTTGGCAGTTTCTTCCTTACCTGGCATGCAGTGTTTTCCTTCAGTAACACCCTGTGACCAGCTGGGATGGGAGGTTTTCAGCTGGCCCAGCTTTCATGGTCTGTTGCTTTCTTGGTTTTTGCTCTCATTGTCCCCTTGCACGTGGTTCTTTCCTATGTGTTTTTCACAATGCCCGCTTCCTGTCCCCTCCCTTCTCAGGAAGCTGTTCACTGTTACTTTAGGTTTTTCTATTTACAAACTCTTGTTCTGCATCTGAGGAACCTGCTGTCCCTAGCAGTCCTTCCTTCTACTGTTAAAAGCAGGCACCCCCGCCTCACCCCCAGCTTCACAGTCCTTACAAGGGGAATATCTCTACTTCCTGTGCAACATAAGAGCATCTGAGATAATGTCAGTGCATAATTATCCATCTTGTAAATACTTCTCAACCACCCACCAATCTTTTATCAATTTAGGCTCCTCTTGGAAAACGGGTTTGTTACACACAATTGCAAAGCAAACTTCTAGAAAGCTAAAAGCTCTCTTCTGGAATAGGAATATGACACATTCCTAGTCAGTGTTGCACTAGCACTGATGTAAACTGCCCCATAATTATTCATGGTACATTTACATTTGAAGTCCTTGCTTAAAACTGTATTTGAATGGGAACATTGGTAGAAACAGTGCTGACAGACTTTTCATCATGGTAAAATGCCTCTTTCTGTAGCAGCTGGCATTCTGTATTTCTGTGATCTAGGCTATGTAGTCACTCTTAAAATGAATCCTGACTATGAAATGGCATAGGGAACACAAGCTAAGCCTTGGCTGAGAATAATTTGTTATGTAATTAGTACAATGATAAGAATATATCAAAACCTCCACTCTTTAAAGCGTGGTAGGCATAGGAATTTTTCTTATGTTTCCTTTCCAACCTACGGGTTTCAACTGCTTGTATCTTCCAGAATTTTTCAGATTTTTCACTTGTTTGAAAGCAGGTCTTTTATTTCTATAAAGTCTGATATGGAGAGAAAAGTTCTTTTGATCAGACTGCTTTTATAATGGTGACAGTGCCTCAGAAAATAAAATGGATTGCTCAAAGACATGTACTGATTTTGGAGAAAGTCCTTGATAAATCAGAGGAGAAAAAAAAAAAAAAAGGATTTGGCATGGCAAGGCAAACTGTAATTTTAGGTGGTAACAGGCTTCAGAGTAGAAGAATGTAAAATTCTTTGATCAGAATTGCTTTTAGTGGGAAATCCTTTCTTCTGTCATTGTTCCCTTCCAGATAAATGACAATGTTCCCAGTAGAAGCAGTTAAAAAGGCACACTTCAAAATACTATACATGACACATACATAATTCTTTCACAGTTACTGAATAGTAACTTCTGGATATTGGAGATCTAAAATAGTAGTCTTGAAAGGCATGTTGTCAAGTAAACTACGTATTCCATTTTATTTTTGACTCAATTTTACTGCCATTTGGAGCATATACGCAGTTATCTGGGGTACTGAACACTACAAAAATAATTTTTAAAAAAGATATAATGGCTTTCAGCTACTTAGCAGTGGTGTGTCATAGTGTCATATATCTAAAGTTGCCATTTTAAAGTACTTCTTCAAGCTTTTACTCTAAATGTATTTGTATTTCAAAATTAAATACAATTTATCTTGAAGCTTTCAGAACTGTTATTTCCTGTGGAAAAACAGTACCACTTTCTAGATTAAATTGGGATAGCAAGCATCTGTCAAGTCTCTTCAAAGAATTTTCATTGTTTTGTAGTGAAGAGATTAAAACAAGTAAATGATTTTAAAATTTAGACTTTATCATTACTTTTGTAACTGAGAACTAGATAATTCAGGTATTAACTTGCTACTTATTCCTGTTACAGAGTATCTTCTAAGCAGAAGATCTCAATGGGTGAAGCCAATTTAACAAGTAAAGGAAAATGGTTGTATTTACCTTGTTGACTTGTCATACCTTCAAAGGAATCACTAAGATATAATTCTTAAGAGTGGTAAATTCACTGCTGCAAGTCACATTACAATTTATTTCTTAGAAGAGGCAGACCAGAAAAGCTGCCGTAGTAAATGTTCTAACACCATCACTGTGTGGTGTTAGAATGGCTTTTTCATTCTCTTGAATTAAAGATCTAGTCTAGATGGGAAAGTAATAGCAGATGACACCACATACCAGTGACACCAGCAGCTGAGTGGATGGCACACTGCTGGCAGGGACAGCTTCCCTTAGTACTGGGACTGATGCTTTGAGATTCCAGGTTGATGCAAGAGCTGTGCAGAAAGCCAGAGTGTTTCAAGTTTTGTGCAGCTGCTTGACAGGTATTACTGTCAGGTAAGAAATCTGATTTTATTCTGAATTCAGGTACAAAAATCTAAGAAAATTGTCTGTTTGGGGAGGATTAAAAGTGAAACTGCTTCTTTTTGTTTGGTCTTGCACAAATTCTCAACACAGAAGGTGGGGAGCAGCATAGATTTCCTTTGCATTTAACAGTTCTTACAGTCTTGCAAAGTTGTTTCTTATGAAATGTTGGAATGCCATTTTAGCAATAAAAATAGTAGTACCAAGTCCTTATGGTGTTTCCTTGTCTTCACTTAAATGTTATTAGTCATTCCAGAAAGTCAAAACACTGTTGTTAAAATCCTTTCAGTATCTTTTTAGTAGTGTCACTGTTTGATGGAGACTGTGTTCACCACAATGCAGTAGAATTTGTAATCTCCTTCCAAATTTTGGTAATTTTCCAAAAGACAGCTTTTACACTTGATTTGGGGTTTGCAGGCTTCTTTCAATTTTTCTTCCCTACTCTTACTGCTCTTGGACTGCACTAATTCAATGTTTCTGTTTTAGGATCCTAAGATGTATGTAAAATAGTGAGAACCTTCCTACTAAGACTAACAGCAAGACCTCAGTCCCTGCAAGTTTTTAGAGAATTCAACTAAGGGTAGCAGTACAGAGACCTGAATTACAGAACCCTTATTACATCACTTCCAAATTCACTCTGTGTTTCAGCTGAATCCAGTACACTGAATCCAGTCCTAGGAGATCAATGACAAATGCTGAACAGCACACCTCATTAATGTAACTATGAGACACTGGATGCTGTCTCTAGGTGATCTGTTCAGCTGCTGGATCTCATTGTTTGTTTTAACTAACCCATTTCCTGGTGTTCTGAAGCAAGTTCTCTCTACTTAATAAATAAATTTTAATTGTTCTGCATTTGTTTGCTTTCTGTTTAGGCATGTTGCACTGGAGGGTGCTATATAAACCCCAATTAAGCTATATAAATTATCAGCCATGTGATTCTTGTAATGATTTGTTCCCCTTTATGTCACGCATTCGGAGGACAGAGCCCCATGGAATTATTCAGACTTTCATCCCGTAGTGCAGTTTCAGTACTTTATTTTGAAAGTCTCTTAATAGCTAGTTTAAAACAAGAGAACAATTATATGTAAAGTGTTCTTTATTAAATAAACTCAAAAGATAAAGCAAATTGTGCAGTTAAGAAAGACAACAACGTGGCTAAAGGATTTTTACAGCAGAGAACAAATTGCGGCAAATAAGCATTTCAGTCTAGCAGCCAAACTGTCCTCATTTTTATGGAGTTAATTTCGGTCCTCAAATTGTGACTTGTTTTTTAAAAGATATGCTGCTAGAAATTCAATGGGATTGGGCGGTCTGCAAAGAAAAAAAGTAAATCAAAAGCAATTATTTTTTATTATATGAAATTAGGTAGATGAAGGACCAATCACCTTCCCTTAAAAGCAACAGAGCTCCTCCCAAACACTTCTAAGCATTGATTTAGGGATGACCAATGACCTAGAGTGACTCTGTAAATTTCCCGTTTATGTCTAATTAGGAAGTTTTTAAAAAGGGGTCTTAGTCACTGTGGGTTCAATGTTACTAAATTGCTAGAACAGTTACATACTTACATACCTAAAACCACAAGCTGTAAGCATAAATACTGTATGTACATCCTTGGATATGACATGAATTTGCCTATTTCTTTAACTTATGCTATTTAAAGTAAAACTGAATCTGCTTTTTTTTTTTTTTTTTTTGAGTGGTTATTGTGTAGCTTAGTGTATTAAGAGTTATTTCATGGTTTCTGGCAACTGAAGCACAACAAATCTTCAAGTCTGAGAAGTACTGTAACTTGCAAGTAGTCAATAATAAACACTTTTGATCACTGGCCTTGGTCTGTAGTTTTTTTTAAAAATAACTCCTCCGGCTATACCATGTGAATCCTGCTAATCTGGATTCTGTCCACAGAATAAATGACATACTTATTCCACAGTAGGTCAAACCAAAGGTCTGGCAGTGAGCAAATATGCCTATAAAGAGCACAAAAACAACAACAACAAAAAAATATGCAGAGATACTTCTCAACCATCCTTTTGGCTTCCAAGCATGTACCAATTCCTGAGCTAGCACCCTTAATAGTCCTGGGTGGATTCCTCTACAGCTTTGACCAGTTGCCTTTGGAGCACAAATAAAATGTTAATGTCCTCAACTGAAAGCAAAAAAATAGCTTAATTATGTAATTATGTGACCTGTGAAGGATCAGCCCTTCTGTTCGCTAGGAATTTGCTACCTGCTTTGTTTAATTTGATTACTGGATCAGAAGAGATAATAAACAATCCATCCCAATATGTCATCTCCGTGCTGTTGTGATTTAACAGGCTCCTAATATGTTCGTCCACAGAAGCCTCTTTTCTAGATATCATCTATTCAGTCATTCCATATACAGACAGCATTCCATACTTATGACTACCTTGTCACTCTCACTTTTTCATGTTCTACCAGAATACAGGGGAATTATACATAATATTAAAAATACAGGAATATCACAAATTTAAATAGTGATATTATGCTTGCTTTTTACCCTTTTAAGTTGGTTTTACCCCTTCAGTTTCTAAGTCCTACCTTTCAGAATTTATTTTTGATTAAAGCAGTGCATTGACATATACATGTAACAGTTTAACATTTTTCCACAAGGGTAATTTTCAGCTCAGAATCTAACATTTTGTCAGTATTGTTTTTAATCACTCTCTGAGGTCCACAATTTTATGTTTATTTGGATTCAATGTCATTTTCTGTCAGTTTAAATTTTTCATGGCAGTCTTCAGTTTTATGACGTTCCTGTGCAATTATTTACAATTGATCAACTTAAAAAACAAACAGAAACTGAAACACAAAACTCCCTAATCTAGTCTGTAAAACTCAGTCTCATTAACAACTTTTCAGCCACTTCTTCAAATTGTTATAAGTGATCTTTTCCGTGATTCTAGTGTTGAGCTTGTTTCACCATGAAAATTCAACATTTACTTCTACCCTCTGTCTCATATCTTCCCATCAGTTCCTCATCCATATGAAGGTGTTTCCTTTAATCCCAACAGCAACTAACCCTCTTTAAAAGCTGTTAGTGAATAACTATGTGAAAAACTTTTTGGAAATTTAAACAGACAGACTACATAATCTGCATTCCTCTTTATGCATGCTTGCTGACTCCTTCAATAAACTCCAAGACACTTAAACAAAAATTGTCCTCCCACTCTCCCATATATGTCCTTTATTCATATGCTCACTATCCTGGATGGTAATTTCTACTGAATTCCAGGTATGATCATCAGATGTATTGGGCTGTTCCCTGAACATTTCTACATTCCTTTGAAAAATAACTTCGTTCTTTTCCACTAGTTATTTTCCCATTCAATTTTAAGCAGTAGATTATACAGCAGAGCTGATAGTTCAGCTTTCTCACTCCTGAGGGTTTATTATGCTCAGCTGAACAGACAGTCTGCCCTGGCAGGTTCATACTATTCAGATTTTTACCTGTATGTTTTCCCCAACTCCTCCTATCAATGATCCAATTTCACTGCTGTGATGAGCCCCCGCAAAGAAGATGGAGAACAGGCAAGACAAGGCAAGGCAAGGGGAAGGGAAAGAGAAAGGGAAGGAAAAATTTGCCTGTCACACAGGTATTCAGAGTGTAAGGGTGGGGTATTAACCTTGAGCAGCTGTGTTTTACATTGAGTCTGCAGCAGAACTCCCACAGATGTCAGCTGAAGATCTGCACATCCCTCAGGTGCACATTGGTGGACCTTCCTAGGTGCCTAATTTTGCTTAATTAGCTGTCTGTACACTGCATTTTAAATTCCCAACTCCTTCTGAAGGTCATACACTGTTGATGGTTTTTCTGACTGCAGGTGCCATGATGCAATTATGGTCATTTATACCAGCTTTTGATTGTATTATTTCAATTTGACAGATGGTTACATGCAGTACGATTTGCCACTAGTGAGGACACATCAAAAGGCCAGAAATTAGTTTTTGCCCCCACAAAGAAGATGGAGAACAGGCAAGACAAGGCAAGGCAAGGGGAAGGGAAAGAGAAAGGGAAGGGAAAGGGAAGGGAAGGAAAAAGTTTGCCTGTCACACAGGTATTCAGAGTGTAAGGGTGGGGTATTAACCTTGAGCAGCTGTGTTTTACATTGAGTCTGCAGCAGAACTCCCACAGATGTCAGCTGAAGATCTGCACATCCCTCAGGTGTGCACATTGGTGGACCTTCCTAGGTGCCTAATTTTGCTTAATTAGCTGTCTGTACACTGCATTTTAAATTCCCAACTCCTTCTGAAGGTCATACACTGTTGATGGTTTTTCTGACTGCAGGTGCCATGATGCAATTATGGTCACTTATACCAGCTTTTGATTGTATTATTTCAATTTGACAGATGGTTACATGCAGTACGATTTGAAGGCCAGAAATTAGTTTTGTTAAGATGAACATCTGTTTGCTTTTATTGAAGGGTAACTTTCTACACTGACTGGTAAAGAGAGGTGGGGCATCTCAACAGCATAATCTTTACCCAGAGGATAAACCATCCTCTTAGAAGAAGATGCTTCTTACTCTGTTGACAGTGCAGGCTCAGCCATATCCCTTAGAAAGTATTTTAATCTCTGACAAAGATGCATATCATGCCTGATTTGTCTTTCCTTCTCTTAAAAGTCAAGCAGCACTGTTTATAATTCCACACTACAAAAATCTTCAGAACTGGAACATCCTCTTGCCTTGTTTCTTTGAGGTGAATTATGTGATAAAAGTAATAACAAAACCCCTCCCATTTTTCCCTCTAAAACTTTCACAGTAGTGTACCTCATTGGGAGATCATGAATTCAATAAAAAACTCCTGTCATGCCGTGTGTGCCTAAGTGAGGAATCCATCCTGCATGGTCAACCACAGCAACTCATGAGTTCATAATCTTGTTATAATGAGGATCTTACAAAGAGCAGAACCATATTTGGTGTGCGAGGCCTGAAAGGTGCTGCACTGCTCAAGTTTGAGACCTGCATTTTCCTAGGAACAGAAGGGACACAGAAGCATCTTACCTCTCTTTTGCAAGAACAGCAAGTCCCTGTAGCAAGATAGGTACAACTGTCTGATCCAAGTAGGCACGTGTGGGTAATGACTGAAGATCCACCTTCTGCTTTGATGTTTTCTCAGCATTTAGTTTCTCATTTTCTACTATCCTCTGAAGTACAAAAAAAAAAAAAAAAAAAAAAAAAAAAAAAAGTGAATGAACACTGGTAATAGCAGCCACATCTACTTTAAAGTGCGTGTGCAAAGTACCTGCCTCTGCAATTCGATGGCAAAAATTTCTTTACATCTTTTAAGAATATTTAAGTGCATATTTTTCCTTGCACAAAAACCTAACCCAGAGGAACCTTCTGTTAAATTCCTGTATTTTTGGGAAACAAAGTTTAGAAGTTGTAAGTTTTTTACAAGAGAAGACATCCAATCCCAGTAATTTTTATTTCTGCTTTTGCATTCACTAATTTGAACTCTACACCACTAAGACAGGAATGACTACCAACAAGAGTTTCAGCTGGATAGTTCCTATACACATGTACTTCTAACACAAAATGCTAAAAGCACATGGAATTCAGGTGAAGCCTGACAAAGGGGACTCTGCTGAAGTAAAGTGCTTTGTGACTGTGCTCTACTCAAGTATAATGGACACTTTAAAGAAAACATATGCAAAATACTTCCAGGTACTTTTTGATCAAAAAGTGCTGAATCATCTTACACCATTAACTGTAGTTAAAAAGTGATACCCTCCCACTGCCAGTAAACCAAATGTATCCAGTGCAATGTACATGAATCTACTGGCACGGGACCAATGTGTTATGGCTCTGTAGGAACCATGGAAGCTGAGGCATAGACACAAGCAGTTATCAGAGAGATGAGTCCCAGATGTTCTAAAATAGCTTCTGCAAAAGCTTAGCACAGAGTAGGAAGTTATAACAAAAGGAGACTGAAGACTTTTCTCTAATAAGAATTAAATGCCATAGAGTTAGGAAGTGATTCTCCCAGTCTGCTCAGCATAGGTTGAGCCTAATGTGGATGGGGTTTTTTGTGCCATAATATATATCTATATCTCTCACAGATAGCAATAGAACAGATAATAATCATAATATACTTAAAAAAAACCCCAACTAATTAAAAGCCTCATTAGCTACTTCACTACCATTTAGAACAATGGAAGTAGCACAACAGAAAATATATTTACAGCCATTTCTGCCAGGGACAGGTATTGCTTAGCTCCATTGAGAATATTACATTTTCTGAAGTTAGACTCAGAAGATAACTTCTTTCCCCAAATCACAAATGTGACTTCCACTGCAACAAAATCTTTGTTACCTCTACATTTTCAGTGAGGCCGTATTCTGAATGAGGATTTTCTGGAACCTGTAAAATAACACATAGTTAGTAAAGCTAAAATTCTCCTTTTACACGTGAAACATAATGCACATAAAACGTTTCTTGTAATACCTGTGGCTGTCCCTCCATAATCTGTTCTCCCTCCATGATTTGAAAAGTGAAATTTGATGGATGTCCAAGAAGATCTAGGCAAGCAATAAAAAAAACTGGTCAGTAGGCTGAGATGAAGCCCGTCTGAGCTAAGTGATATCGCATCACTTGGTTACTAATGGTTACCAAGGCACAATTACTAGAAAGCAGAGGGAGTTGCTCCGTGCCCCCCTCCCGCGCCAAACTTGAACTGGTTTCTCCCGCACGCAGAACCGAGAAGCGCCTTTTAAGTTTCGCGTTACGTCCGCTGAAGAGAGCGGTACTGGGATTAGAAAATACAGCACTCATCCCCCCCCGGGACGCCGGAGACATCCCTTTCCCTCCGTCCGTCCGTCCCTCCCGTGCCCGCCACAGCGCCCCGAGAGCCCCCGCGGGCAGGGCCGGGCTGGGGCCGCGCCGCAACCGCGGGCCACGTGCGGGCGCTGCCCCCGACCGTGCCCCGGGCACCCCGCGGGGGCAGAGGCGGCCCCGCCGCAGGGCTCTCACCGCCGGTCGGTCCGGGACGGGCGGGACACCGGGATAGGCGGGATACCGGGAGCGGCTCCGCAGCAACCGCCGCCGCCGTCGCGACTTGTTTTGACGTCAGTGAAGCGGTCGCGCGGCCGGCCCCCGGCGCAGTGCGCCTGCGCGGGCCCCACCCAGCCCGGCGCCGGCCGCGGGGGCGGGGCCGGGAGCGGGCCTGGGCTCGGTTCGTCTGGAGGCGGCCTGTGGGAATAAAAACCGAGGAATGTGCTCGCTTCCAGATCCGCCTGGGGTTTTGGGATGCAAAAATGTGTTTGGAAATCAACGCGGCTTGGTGTCTGAGCACTGTGGTGTTCGCGACAATTAACATTGCTGAAGCTGATTTGGATCTGAAAAGGGTTTTGTTAGTTAAATAACTGTTAACAGTGCTTGAAGCTTCTGGAATTTCTTTGGTATTACAAAATCTGTTAAAACTTTGTATCAGTAAATAAGAGATTTTTTTAAAGGACAGTTACATCTACAAAAGAAATATTCCTCCTCTCATGAGTGAGCTGGAACATCCTTGATAATATTTTCATAATAGAAGTACATCATCATTACAAAACACAGAAAAATATTTGATGTACATCTCTGCATTTTTTTTCAGCACTAATAGGCTGTCTGTCTAATAATGGTCTAGGTCATGAGTAGTTGCTATATGTTTGTATGTTATTTTATATGCGATAACATTCGGTATTCTATACAGTAAGAAAACTGTATACTGTGTACTGTTCTGTCATTAAAAAACCCCACTCCACTCTGTCATTTAAGAAAATAAATACACGTTACTGGGGCAACTGGAAATAACTTTATGAGGCATAAACAAACAAACAAAAAACAACCCAGTAGTTTTATTATAGTAATTTTGGAAGAATGAATCAAATACTGCAGACAGTAGTGATTTTAGTTTGGCATATCCTTTTAATTAACATGCCCCACCAACTGCTCTTTCTTGCTATAAGCTGGGGGAAAGCTGCTTGTGCACTGAATGACCTGTCTACAGTTTTGGGACTGTCTCAACTCCTGTTCAGGCAAGGCGTGCAGCAGGGAGATGATCTGCCATCATCTAGGATCACTCAGTATTTTATTTGTAGAACAGAGAGTGTGTGGCAAAGCAGAACAACGGCGAAAAAGATCAGACAACAGACAATGCACCCACAAAGGTGGGAAGGTTGAAGCAGAGAGGGAGGCGTTCGCTAAAGTGGTGAATATAGCAGCAGACACAGAAGTGCTGGTGTATGGATGCCTCCCCTCGGTTGCTAGACCAAAGGTACCAAAGCATTTTTAAGGTTTGAAATAACCAAAGGAGTAGGGAGCTGGAGGATCTGTCTCTTTGGTGAAACACAAATAAATATTATGGCTGGGCAGATAATTGAGAAGGGCTTGGACAACTGCATGTTCACTTTTGGTAAGGAGAGTGGAGTAAAGATTTTTTTTTTTTCTTCCAGAGCGATGTATCTATAATGTATAGTGAATTCCATTAGCTCCCTGCATGTGAGGAGACAGCCTGTCATTCCCATTACAGAGCTGCGGAGCAGACAAAGCCCCGAGCACACTCCCGGGAGCAGCTCCGGGGCGGCGGGAGCAGGGACACCGCCGGGGACTGGCTGCTCCACGCCTCTTCGTGCGAGGGAATTCCCCGGGCTCTGCCTGTGTGCCACTAGCAATCACTCCAGGCGGGAGCGGCGCCAGGAACCTGCGCTGCATTGTGCCTGCGGGCCGGCTCACAACCCCAGTCAGAATCATTAATCCTATTAAATTATTCATCGCCCGTCCACTCGGCGCGCCTCACGGGCCGGCACTGAGCGGCCCCGGCCAGGGCTGCAGCGGGATGCTGCTTTCACTGTCGGCTTGCCGCGCTCCCGGCAAGCCCCGAAAGGAGGCTGAGCCAGCTGGGAGGCGGCCTCTTCTCCCGGGCAACCAGCGGAAGGACAAGGGCACATTTCCTCAGGCTGCGCCAGCGGTGGTCCAGGTTGGACACTAGAAGGAATTTCTTCACAGAAAGGGTTAACATGGCAATGGACTGCCCGAGGAGGTGGTACAGTCACCGTCCGCGATCATGTTCAAGACCCGTCCGGACGCGGTACTTGGTGCTATGATCCAGTTTTACATCAGTCCAAGGCTAGACTCGATGGTCCCAGAGGCCTTTTCCGACCACATTGATTCCGTGATTCCGTGCTTTCCAGGCCCAGCGCCGAGCGTGCCCGAGAGCCCGTCCCTCGGGCCGTGGGAGCGGGGCAGGCCGGGCGCTGTGGCTGCCGTACCCTCGGCTCCCATTGTGGGGGGGGCGGTGCCAGCGCTCCCCGCCCCCGGCCGGGGCCGCCCGCATCCCGCCCTCCGTCCCTCCCCCTGGGCCGGCCGAAAGGGGCGTCGCCGCCGCCGCCATCGCCATGGCCGGTTGTTGTCAGTCCCTGGCAGCGGGTTATGGCGACGGCGGTGAATGAATTCTCCGGGTGGCCGAGGGAAGAAGAAGGGCTCAGCCGGCTCCAGTTCCGTGCCTCCGACCGCCGGCGCCTCTCCCTCCTCGCCGCCCGGGCCGGCGCCCCCCGTGCCGCCGGCGGGGGCGGCGGCGGCGGCGTCCCCGCACAAGCGGAACCTGTACTACTTCTCGTACCCGCTCTTCGCCGCCTTCGCCCTGCTCCGCTTCGTGGCCTTCCAGCTCGGGCTGCTCTTCGCCTGGCTCTGCGAGCGCCTCTCCCGCGGCGCCCTCATGGCCGCCAAGGGCAGCAGGGCCGGGGCCGGCGACGCGCCCGAGCCCGGTGGGGCGCCCGAGACGGTGCGGGCGTGCCACAAGCGGGCCTTCGAGTGCATCTCCATGGCTCTGCGCATCGACGAGGACGAGACAGGTAGGGAGGGAGCGCCCGCGGCCGTCCCGGGGTGCGGGGGGAGGCCGGGGAGGCCCTGTGCCGTGGAACCGCTTTCAGCTAAGAGCAAACAAAACCCGCTTGGGAGAGAAATGCGGGGGCTGCGGACGCTGTGTGCGGGGGTTGAGCCGTGCTGTGCCCGCATGCCGTGGCGGTGCTTTGGTCCCCGGCCGGGTCCGTCCCTGCCGCAGGTGCGGGTCGGATCACAAAGCTGCGGCCAGGGCTCGTTCCCCGTGCAAGACAAGTGCTTGTATTTCTCCCCAAAAACTTAATTTTTGCCGCGGGGGTCTGGGTGAGGCGGTTAAAAATTGCTGGCGGGTGTGTGACTGTAACTAGCCTTCACCAAGCCAGCTGGACAACAAAAGCACCAAGGACAATAATAAGGATGCATCCTGTACTGCACTGCCTGACAAATGATGTGGGTGCTCAAGCGAGGCTGCAGGTTGCTTGGCCCTCAGAATGCCCATTTGGAGTGGTGTGACTTTTAAGGAAATAAATACTTGCTTTAAGTGTTTTGGCAGTTTCTTAAAAATGTTTTTCTTAAACTGTTTGACATGCATACTCTTAAAAAACCTAAAAACCTACCACGGTGTGATGAGAAGACCTTAAGGAGAGCATTTAGGGTTCAATGAAATATAACAGAGGAGTGAGGATTTTTTTTGTAGGGCATTAAAAAAAACCCATCCAAACAAAATACTTGATACTGAATTAAATTTAATCATTTATTCTAAATGCAGCAGCATGATTCTGTCAGCATGCAAAAGGTAGGCCTTGGGGACATGCTGTGATGGTGTTTAAAATTCTCAGGAGAAGTCAGAATGCTTTATTCTAAACTTTCAGTTGTGCTTTAATGAAACTGCTATCCTAGAGGAGGAGATTAAAAATATAGCAGTAGGCCTTCAACAGAAGCTGCATGCTGACAGCACCACAAAAGCATGGGATGTGTCCTCCTTTGCATTGACAGTTTGGGAGTGGCAGTGGTTCACTCTGGGAGAGAAAAAAAACCTGCACCATGTGCAGCAAGGTTAGCTCAGCACAGCTGTACAGGGAGAGAGCACTGAGGGTCATAGGAACAAAGCATGAAAGAAGGTGAGGTAGCTGAAAGCTTTGGTGGTGTTGATGATTGCTCTGTGAGGAGTAGCAAAGTCTTGTCTTATCAGGCACCTCTTCCACTGCTGTGACCTTTAATTGTTGGTTGTTTGGAGGGTAAGCCCTTAAATATGAATTTTAATAATGGTCTTGCTCTGTAGGAATCTTTAGGGTGATCATACATTAATTAGTTGCACAGGCCATACATTTAGTAAGATGATCTTTGCTGCTAATATGAGCAGTTGCACAGCTGTTACAGCCCTGCAACATTCCACTAAGAAAGAACTCCTTTTAATACATAGATTTGTTACTTGCTTATTTAATTTTGCCAGAATACTTGTCTATTTTTTGAAATTTTTTTGATCTGCAAACAAGCTTTTTATATCTTCACAGAGAAAACCGTATGTTAGACATAGTATGTGAAATGGTTGGAATTTCTGAATTGTCTAATAGCCTGTTGTGCCTAATGTGGCAGTTTTGCTGTTGTGGGAGCTATGCATACTTCAGTAATTTTGATAGCACTTCTGGTAATTTTTTATGCTTCTGAATTAGTGGGGCAGTTATTCTTGTTTTGGTATTTTCACAATTAAGCTTAATATCTTTCCCTAAGAAGGTGCATGTGGTGTGTTGACCCCTGCAAGCAGTTAAGCATCCTCCACACAGCTTCTTGTTTACTCTTCTCAGTGGGACAGGGGAGAGTATAGGAGGAGCAAAAGTGGGAAATCTTTCCAAGCAATGATTGCCTTTGAAGACAGCCCCCATTCAATTATTCATCTCCCCAGGTTTTTATTGATGACCATTATATTGTATGATGCAAAATATTGCATTGGCCAGTTTAGGTCAGTCATCCTGCTAGTGTCCTCTCCCAGCTTCCTGTGCACCCTCAGCCTTCTCACTGGGGGGGATCTGTGTGGGAAAAAGAAAACCTTGAGGTTGTGCTGTTCAGCAATACTCAAAACATTTCTGTGTTATCAACTGTTTTAGTCACAAATCCAAAACACAGTGCCATTGGGGCTCTTTGAGGAAAATGAGCTCCATTCTGCCAGAGCCAATACGCCAAGTCAGCAACTTCCAAGGACTGTGACATTTATTTTATTTTTAATGTGATAATCCCTGAGAACTAGTCAATCATTCTGTGTGGAGTTGGAGCACAACCTTTGCAAACAGCTTGGTGTGGTATTGAGCTTTGGAAACTTTCTCCAGTTAAAAGCTGGAAGTGAAATTTTAATGATGACCTTGGCATGTTTGCGGCTGCCCCTAAGAATAACAAAGCCATTCAGGCTTTGTTAGCAGAGGTGGGTGGAATCATCTCAAGTCAGGATTTTATTTAGCTATAATCAGTATTAGATTTGCAATTTACACTGCAGTAAAAACTGTTTCTGTGGGTGGTGGAGAGAAGAAGCTTAAAGAAAAAGTCTAAAGAGAGGATTGAAGTCACTCACCTTGGGTGATTTAATTTATGTAGCTTTGTCCTTAACAGTCAGGATATATGAGGCTGGTGAAGAAAGGAGAGTAATAATATAACTCCTGAGGTGTGTGGTGTTCATGACTATAGGCAGGTGCTTTGTGGTGGTAAGAAGAGCAAAGCATGAAATTATCTGCACAGGGGAACTTGCCAAATGTTATTAATAAGAGATTTTTTTTTGTCTCTGAAGAGGAGCAAGAGAAAACCCTGAAATGGATTATAGAAATGTATTGAAATATTTTTACTAACATGAAATTTGCTAGAAGATAGGTTTGGGACTGAAGTTATCAAAAGATTCAAAAGATTTGAGTGTAGAAGCACACAACCACTGGCACTTAGGAATAGTTTCATGAAACATCATCATCTGAAACTAGGGTAATGATATCTGAAGTTAGATTGTAGGCATTTTTAATTTTTTCTACCACTAGTAGTTTGTTAATGCTGATCAGGTTTTATGTTCTAATACCTAATCTGTTATATTCCTCTGTGGAAATGCATGCTTAGTGTGATATAATTATGTTGCAAAAGTATTTTTCCATATGCAGGTATATTCATTTTTAATGCTGAGTATTTATGGAAAGGGAGCAATATGAAGTAGGTATTAGTAGGTCTTCAGTGGTTGACTTGCAGTCATGGTGTCACATGGCTTAGGTCAGGTACAGGCATGTTCATGGCTGTGTTTGCTGTAAAATGCACTCAGGACATGGTTGGTACAGAAGTGAGCTCTAACTCTGCTGTGTTCTGCTTCATGTGAAAGTTGACACACACCTGTAATACAGCAATTTCATAATAGCTTAAACAAAGAAATGCCCTCATGACAAATGAGTTGCACTGCATAAAAGGTGACCAGAGGAGAAGTGTCTCTCATCTCTCTGGTGTGGTGTCTTAGACTTGTTGCTTTTCATCTTGAGTTTCTGTGCTTCTATTGTTATTTTGGGTATTATTAGTGTTATTATTGGCTGTCACTGGAGGATTAAGAGGCACATCTCTACTTGATGTTCCAGAAGTAAAAACTGTTAATTTCACTGTTTATATTGGGTTCCAGAAGTAAAAACTGTTAATTTCACCATTTCTGTTGGGAGTGAATATGTGTAGGTGAGCTTTTATATATTTTTTGGGGGGGGCAGGGGAGGGGGGATTTATTTCTTCAAGGCAGATGAATTATTCTTGAAACAGGCAAAAGTGATTTGAGGCTGGTGTAGTACCTGTTTTTAATAGAAAAGCTTATTTGGTATTTAAATAGATATAAAGTTGACAGTGTCCCTTTAAGACTTCCTTTAAATCCCAGGATTTTGTTAAAATATCTTTTCCTCTCTCTTACTTGTTTTATGCAGCATTATTTAGAACCATTCCTAAGCTTTAATTCGTTCAAGAAAATAATGGGCTCACTTCCTTTTTAAGCAGGACAAAAGGAACAAGCTGTTGAATGGTATAAGAAAGGAATTGAAGAACTGGAAAAAGGAATAGCTGTCTTAGTAATTGGTCAAGGTAAGCCAGTTTTGAGTTTTGTGGAACTGATTTTGGTTTATGGCTTCGTTGAAGTGAGAAATCAATATTACTAAATATGGTAGGGGCTAGGAGCAACCTGCTGTACTTCATAAGGATCTTCCTTATTCCTGTTTTAGCTGTAGGTGAGCACTTTTCCTTTTCTCTATTCCACCTTAATATTCTGGTCTATATCACATGCAAATCTTGCTCCAAATATTTTCAGACTCTGCAAAATCATAAGGAGTTCATGTTACTGTTGAGTAAAACATGTGATTTCTTATATAATGGGAGTGCCAAAATACTGAGTTTTGATTTGATTTTCTGAAGTTGACAGTTCATGTTCTCACTTATGCAGAATTTTATATTCCCTTCAGTATAATGTAAAAAGAAACCCCCAATTTGGAATGGCCTGACATTGTGTTTCTGAATAACTTAGGCCAAAATAACTGAACATTTCCAACAAAGGAAGAACGCCAGCTCTCTATGTGGAAGCATTTTAACCTTTAGTGTAGAAGTAGGTATGTACCATAGAAATACAGGTGTAGTGAAGGACTGGCTGAAAATTTGTCACCCAAATCACCTGCCCAAACCTAAACCTGTAAGTGTTTTTGCAGACTTGTATTTATTCCCTTACCTGTGTTTAGAAATATGTAGTGATCTTACTTAGGGGGCAATACCAGTGGCATTTGATATAACCTGTATAAATTGGCACAGTATAAAAAAAAAAGCGTGACTCGAACAGGAATTATTTCTTAGAAAGTGGTGTTAATGTCTAATTCTGTGTGTTTTGAAATGTAAAGGGACACAGTCAACTGAATTTAAATCTGTTAATTTTTCCAAAATCAGTTCCTTCAAATTGTACTTGCCTCTCAGTCACTTTTCAAGCTTTAAAAAAAAAATTTTTTTTTTATTTCTCGTCAGAGAAATGCAGAGGGACATACTAGGTCACCATGAAATGTTAGACAATATGCAAAGCAGTGTTTGTGTTCCCATCGCTCTACAAGCACTGTTGTAAAGCAGAGAGTGTTAACTAACTTTAACATCTTGATTAAATAGGAAGCTTTAGAGTCTTTTTCACTAGTTTTGTAATGAAGTTCTGTAGTGGAGGGGATAGATAAAGGGTGGGTGGAGGAGGAGGGAAGGCTGGGTATTAACAAATTGTGTTTTAACATGGATTTTTCTTTGTAAGGTGATCAGTGTGAACGGGCTCGACGTCTCCAATCTAAAATGATGACAAATTTGGCAATGGCCAAGGATCGGTTGCAGCTTTTAGGTACCAGTTACAATTCATGACTTTGGAAAATTTATAATTATTTGCACAACTTCATTTAATGTATTCTTCTAAAACATTACTTTGATTTTTAAAGTGAAGGAGTCATTATCTTTGTAGGGTCTCTTTAGTTTAATTTTCAGTTGGGAGTAAGTGCTGTTGATGGATTTTGAAAATGGAATTTCATGACCCACTTTCAGGTATAAAAGTAACTGAGAAGTCTTTATATCATAGCACACTTGAGTCATAAAATGAGGAAGTCTTGATTAACTCCTGATGGAGTTTGTTCAGGATTTTTCTGTTAGTACTGTAGTGAAATTTATGATATATTGCTGATCATGAGTGCCAAGTGTGCTTCTTGTAAGTGTAACCACTTCATATTCTGTTGATTTTGCTGTCACTTATATTAACAATTTCCCTTATTATTGGTAAATAATAATAATGATGATAATAATAATTCTTTAACATCATATAGACCATAAGGTTGTGAAATTCTAATTTTCTTGATTCTTTTCTAGTAGTGTTCTTTTTTAAAGTTAGAAGGTAGGGTCATATTTTTCAGAAGTATAGTGTTGTGTAGCTTTAGCTTTATTAAAATTAAATGTTGTATATAAGTTCTTAACAGAGTAAAAATCCTCCCATCAAACAACAGACCACTGTGTAGTGCATCTTCTAAATTTAAAACTTTGAAAGTGCTTTCAGTTCAATCAGTAAAAGTAAAATAAGGGATATTTTTTAATTGCTCTTTATGGGTACACTAACAAATATACTTGATTTTAGCTTGCATATTTTTAATCTTACCCTCTCCTGTGTGGAGTTGTGCTAACTCATTCTTCTAGAAGCATATAGTGCAGATGGGAAAATTTGGGTTCTTTTCTCCTCTTACACTTCGTGGTTCTGTGGTCCTCACTGGTCACTGACAGGGAAGTTGTGACTGGTTCAAGGAAGTGAGCCCCTTTGTTTCCCTTTAGTTCCTAATGCCTTTAGTATTTTTGAAAAAAAATTGAAGGGGATAGGAAATGAAAGAGGCATCTGTCTTCTATGCTTTAATATGGGTGTTTCTTCATACAGTTTCAGTATATGGAGAAAATATATTTTCCACTTACTAGGGTTAAAGGCAGACTTCTAGAGGTAATACGAACTAGGGAACAATAGAGTGAAAGTGATTACATGTAATAATCTTTGGTAAGGTATGGCTTGAAGTAACAGTGTTCAAGTTTTGTGCGTAGTGCTTCATCCTTGCTTGTATTACTTTAGTAGTGCTTGCAGTGTTGATAAGTCGCTTACTTGCTGTGATCTGATTGAAAAGAAACAAAGGGTAAAATTCACAAAAAATCCCTGAAGTGTATTCATCTCTACTACCAAAATGTGTGATCACATGCTATTTGTTTGCTTCATTCAGAGTGCATATTGAAAGGTAAACAGATAGAATAGTGTTTATTACATTAGTTGATGTAAAATAATTTTTATTTTTAAGGGATTAGTTTAACATTTTGGTTGGCCTAGGTTCTTATTAATTTTTACTGAGGATGTGCTTCGTACAATGTACCTAAAAGCGAAATTTGGATAAAAAGAGCAAGTGAAGTCATGGGCCCTTTAGGAAGGCAAAAGATGTGGTTTGGAGGGATATTTCAGTTGTTTTAAATCCCTACAAGTTTGAGTATTAGGGTTCTATTTGAGTAATATTATATAACATCTAACCAACTTCGAAGTATTGACAGCACATTTTTTTATTATTTTTGTCTGTCATTTTACATGGATTTTGTAGAAATTTATGGTAATATAGAGTTGAATTCCATGTGCCATTTTAAACCCGTGTTTAGCCTGTTACTTATAGTAACAGATATTTGGAAGTTTTTGAGTGGTGTAAATATCCTTTTGTAGTTGAATTAGGCATGAGGCTCTTGAAGCTATTGCAGTTTAATGAAGTGGTTTTTACTAGGAATTGAACTCATAAGAGCGTTTTCTGCTTTGTGGAATTTCTCCCTTTCTTAAGTCAGAACAGGCAAGTCCTTTATTACATTAGCTGAAAGGATAAATCAAACCAGACAATAATGCCAAATATTTCATCGTGCTTGCTAGAGGGAGATGTGATTGCAGACTGCCTAACTTGAATGCCATCCAGTCGAGCAGGTTGTATACATTGGTAGTACATAGAAAGTGAAAATTGAGCCATGCTGATTACAACTGTCCCTTGAAAGTGCTCAGTGTTGTTGATTTTTTTGGTTGGGTGTTGGTTTTTGATTTTTTTTGAAGTGTTGGTACATCAGTGTAACTTTAAGTTGCATGACCCCACTGATGGGGGTGTTGGACACCGCTGGTGAGCGTGTGATGTCTGATCACACCCATGTGTTACCACTGAGTCATCACCACTGATGCCTTTCAGTGTTGGAAGGGGATGGAGCTACCTGCTGTGGCTGATGGGTTTTCTACTTTGAGCCTTGTTTTCATCCTGAGTCTAAATGATGTATCTCACTCTGTTTAAAGCTGTCCTGTGACACAGTCTGAAAGCTGAAGTGACTGCTTGTGTGTTTCAGGTCACCTCAAGGGGACTTGATGGTTTTGGCAGTCCATTGACAATATTGGGTTGTGCTGGCTGTCAGGGGACTTCAAAATTCTTCCATTTGGTTTGGTGGTGGCCCCCCATTTTTGACATGGTTTAGGGTGTGTTAGCTGGGTGGTTAAATCTTGCTTTGATGGTCTTCACACACCTGGCCTCTCCTGGATGACTGATCACCCATGTTAGAGTCATTAAATTTGATGTATTTAGAATGACAGGAGTGTATTTGTTTTCTACAGTTGATAGACTGATAGAACTTGGCAGCCTGTTGTTCCTAAAGATAGATGGCTGTAATGGCCAGTGCAACACTATTCAATTCTAATGCTATTTATGTGTTTTACCAGTCTGTGTTCTCTCATTTCAGAGAGGTTTTCTGTGGGGACACAGATTTCTGTCACAAGTGCCTTCCTGGGTATTTAGTGTAGCTTCAGTATTTTGGTTGAAGAGTGTATGTGACACATAATTCAAATATCTGTCATCAGTATCCTCTTTGAAGGGTATTAATGTTCCTCCGTTGTGCCTGTGTAGATACAGTGTTCAATGGACAACTTTTGGAATGTTTCACTTTCTTGGAGGAGATGATGCTTTTTGCTTCATGCTTATGTTACAGGATAGCATTTTTAAGTAGAAATTATATTCCTTGAACTCAAGCTGTAGTATTGCCTAAATAAGGCTGTGCTTTTTGTTTGGTAGGTTTTTGTCAGCGTTGTGTCATGAAGGTGAAATAATGAATGAGAATCTGTGAACTTTGTCAGTGTATGGAAAAATAGGGAGAAAGAATTTAAATGGAAGATGATGGTATCCTGTAATTCCCTGGAATAATGTTTAAAAGCTCAATTTACTTTCGATGTTCCAGAGGAACCTACAGCTATACTGTCCCTAAAGAAAGGCGATATATTTGCCTTTTGAAATTTTATGTGCAATACTAAAATGAAATGTTTATAGGTAATGTGATGAGAGGACTCTGAATTGAAACTGGAAAACAGTTGGATTACGTTTTTTTCTGTGGTTGGAGTTCTGGAGTTCCTGAATTTGTGGAACTAGCTGAGCATTGATAATTGTAGTAGAACCCTAGTGTCAGATCGTAGCATTGAAGCAAGTAGTAGCATTTCCTGAATTCCTGCACAAGTGAATTGAAAGTTTTTTTATTAAGCTCAGAAATATTCTCCAAAACTCAGCTGATTATCTAATATCTTCAAAGTCTATTAATACTAATTTTGTTTCCTGAGCTTTCTGTATGTTCTTTCCATTTGGGTTGCGTTCACTGGGCAGGGAGCAGACCATTCTGCTGCCTTGTTTGGTAGTGCAGTGTCCATTAAAGTAGTGCACTGTCTGCAGTCAGTCCTATTAAAAGGATTTCCTTACCCTTCTGGAGAGAAAAACCTAGGAGGGTAACTTCTTGGAAATTGCAGAGCTTGTGGTTGTTCGTAGGCTGTTCTTGTGTGACTGACATTTTTTTTGTTTGACTCTTGAAAGCTTTCAATTTAAAATGAAGTAAACATTGTGTACCTATACTAATCTTGAGCTTTAGCTTTTCTTTCATAAATGCCTGTAACTACTAAGTTTTCATTCTAAACTACATCTTGTTCAACCTAAATGTCGTTAAGCCATCACTGTAACTATGAGGTGTAAGGATACTATTCAGGAAAGCTAAGCAGTGAGTGATGAGGAGCAGGAAGAAGAAAGGAACAAAGCAAATATATTAGAGAAAGATCTGTAACAGGTAAAGAAGCCTAAGGAAGGAAGTGCTCATGCTTGTTGGTTGTACCATCTCCAGGCTCTGAATGGCACTTCTTCCTCCAGCCAGGTTATTTATGATCTTAATTGAGTACATTTTCAGTAGAATTTGTCTGCTTTTGCAATATATGCTTTCATAATACCAGAGAACATTGTTTTTCTACTTGGCATCTCTTTTCTTGCAGTTTCTTGGTAGTGTTATCTCTTGTGGGGGAAGCAGAAGGGGGAAAAAAAGCAGGAGGGAATGGGAGAGCTTGACAGTGTATGCCTTACATCCTTGCAGACCATGGCTGGTTTTTAAAACTAGAGGGGTGTGTGTGAAATAAAGATGGGAGAGGTAGTAAAGGGCCCCAGAAGTATGGCTTAGAGTTTTCAACTGCAATGGGAAAAGCAGATGTGGTACTTGGGCTGCAGGGAACAAGTTAACTTTTCTTTTGTGTTTGCAGCCTTACGCCTCTTTGACTTATGGTTTGGCTTTTTTCATTACTTCTCAGAGTTAATTTCTTTATCTTTTAGCTTTATAAATACTGTATTCAGGTGTTCTGAAGTTAATCTTCCTAAAGAACACAAATTGCATGACGACTTTATTGACTTAATTTCAAGGCAATTAAATATCTAAATAGAGGTGTCAAATGGCATCGTTGTAATATGTATATGGTGTTGTGCTTGAAGTGTGATGGTTTCTGTAAAAATGTTGACTAGCTGTTACTACTTAAGTGGAATATTTATTGTGCAGAGAAGTGAGGACTCTTTGCACCTGGTCAAAAGTAACACCTTGAGAAGGACATTCAGAAATGTGTTATCAACATGAATATTTATTAAATTAAATTGAGTTAATCCTGAACATTGTTTTTAGAAGTAACTGCAATCACCAGACTGGAAAGATTATTGTAATTAACTCAGCCATAGAGGGTGAGTTTTAAAGCTGTTTTCAGTCACGCTCATACTAACAGAATTTTCTTACACATTTGCTGAATGTGTAGAATAGATAGAAATATTCCTTTTATCTTTAACTGTAACAAAGCCAAACTTGACATTTCTGTGTTCAACATACATAAATTTTCTTGGTTCATTTTTGGTTTTTGTTTGTTTATTTTGTCCTTTTTCCTCCCTCCCCCTCTGTTCTACTATGTAGAGAAGCTGCAGGCAGTTTTGCAAATTTCCAAGCCGCAAATGGAGGTCTATAATGACAGTACTAACCTGGCATGCCGCAATGGACATCTCCAGTCAGGTGGGTTTGGTTTTACCAGCACCTATTGAGGGGATGTCTCTCAGTTCCTGGTGTATTACAAGGCAAAATATGCAGTGCTATATTCTGGCCCCACCAGCTTTAAAATAAAATTATTTATATTTCTGTTTTTAAAGGCTTTGTGTAAAATACATTCCATACTTTCCATGGCTTTGACAACACTGTTTTATTTTGTAGTATTCAGTTTTCTCTTGCAATGGCTGTCCTAGAATTCAAATCTATTTATTAAGGCGACATTTTAGAAAATATTGCTCATGTAATATTCTTCAATGAATTACATTAAACCTGTTTTAGAAAGTGTCAGTGTTGGATATAAAGGTTATACATTGTGCCTACATTAATTAGTTCTTCCTTTATGGTATTGTAAATATGCATTAAGCAACTGTAAAATTCTGGGGGGTTTTACATCAATAAAGTGATATGCAATTAAAATGAGGGGAAAATGACAGGAGCTCTTGCATTTTGTCAAGGAATGTTGTTTTAATCCTTTCCCAGAAGACTGAACCAAACTTTTAATATAGCAGAAATGAACTTTTTTTGTACATAAACAAGGTGTAAAGTTGTGGAAGTCCAAGGGGTTACCCATAGTACGGAATGTTTGCAGCTGAGGGATCCCTGATACAGTATCATGAAAGTCAGGCTATTGGTAGGCATCTGGATTTCTTAAATGGTTGATGCCTATGCTCTTGTCCTTGCTTTTCCTGTCTTCTGGGGTGAGGGAGTGTTTTTTGTAAGAACATACTAGTAATACACTTTTTTCTTAAAAGCAATGTAAATAGATGGTTATGTTTTGATGTGCTAATCATTTTGCTGTTGTTCTTCCTTTATACATGTAAAACAGCTCTAATAATTTAAAATCACAAAGTAGATGACAGAGTTTCTTAGAAAGCCACAAAATCAGTTTGCAGGCTACTTCAGATAGGAGGACTGTTGTCTCTACCTGAGGAGGTAGAGGTATTGAGCCAAAGGGCTCTGGCATAACCTTATTTTTCCATGTGTGGAAAGTGTTGCCTGCCCTGTTGCCTAATCAGGTTGGGATTTTTAAAAGTTCAGGATTTTATAAAGTATGAAACATGATGATGTTCATTCTTAGTTTTAACATCGTGTCTTTTTGCCCATCATTTGGTCTAAAATTATATTGCTTTCTTTTATTTGCCTTTAAAGGCCAAAGTCTTTACAGAGGTTTTTGCTTTGTAATTTTGTGTAAGATTCTATTCTCACAGCTGTGATGCACATTTTTTGTATTGCCAAAGTGTTACTGATTTGAGATTCTTCGTTTTCTCAAGATACTATTTGTGTCAGCCTTCCTGCTCAGTTTACTTGATTCTAACACAAATGGCTACCTATCCCTGTCTTCAGCATTAGTGGTTTCCAAACTTAAATGAATAGGTAGAGATTTTTCTTGAAATTTATCTTCCAAATTTATACTGAGGTTTTTCAAGACCTCATAGCAGTAGTATCATCTGCTCTTCAGTTGCAGAGGGCTATGTCTTAAAAGTAATAACAAGTGGCCTTGATCCCAACCTTTACTTGGAAATAATATTGATTTAATATTCATCATTTCTCTTCTCATAGCAGTCTTAAATTAGATGTAAAACAATTTACCTGTGTTTTTCCCCCTGAAATGTGCTCGTTTTCCTTTGCATTGTGGATTGTAATTTTCTCTTTTTTTAACACAAGCTAGGGAAGGAGATTATACTAGTCTTGCCAAAGGCAGAGTTTGAGTTTTATGGACTCATTTACTAGTCATACAATACTTAGAGCATTACAGTAATTCCAGTGTATACCATTTTATGTGTAAATCCCAGCATGATGGATAGCCAGAGAGAGCATTACATTTCTGTTACCTCAACATGAATACTGTGCAGCTAGCTAGTATTTTATCTCAGTTTTCACTTGGAAGGAGTTGCTGGCTTGACATTAATAGTAGGCATATACTGGCAATATTTGTCATGGTGCAGAAGTTCTATTTTTAATACTGAAGTTTTCAAAGGAGTTCCCTGAGTGAAAGAACAAGTAGCAATAAGATTGTTTTTAACAGCATAATTTGACAAAAGCAGATCTTTGATGTGGATCTGTCAGTTCAGAAAGGAGAACAGCTGTAATTCCTGGCTTGTGTAGCTGTGCTACCATTGAAAATATGCAGCATGTCCTTCTTAGTTGCTGGAGCTTTCTGTAAGTAGCTTTTATTACTTGCATCTACCTATTTGAAAAATCTGAATTGAATTCTTGAAGAATTGTGATTTCGGGGGCTGTTGTGAATGCTGATCCTGAATAATGATCAGTCTTGCAATTGCTGCAAGGTCAAAGCAGCAATTTAAAGGTTTTTGGGTTTGTTAGTTTTTTTCAATGAAACAACATACATAAAGTTACAGATAATTTTAGACTGGTGGATTTTTCTTCCAACTTGGTGTCCACAGACCGTGTAAAATAACTTGTTTTAGTCCCTTCATCTTACTTCTCCATAGGCATATGTAGGGAATTTCTGAGGAATATTCCCTGATGATTTTTAAGATGTCACAATTGAAGGCTGGAAATTGTTCTGCAGTACTGGAATTGCTGCTGTTAATTTGAATTGAAACTTTCTTTTGGATGCTTAAGACGTTAGAGACTAGTAGAAGCTTGTTTATTGACATGTGCTTTAATTTGGTTTAAGTGCAGAAAAAAAATATAATGGGTTTGCTTTTTAGAAATAGAAAGGATATTGTTATATTAAAAAAAATGAGCTACACTTGGATAATTTTAAGATTGTTTTTGCATTTCCAGGTATTTAATATAATCAAACTTCTCTTAGATTTGTGCAAACATATTTGGACTGTATCTTTAAAATCAGTTTATTATAATAAGTATGTTATTATATAATAACTTCTAACATTTCTGTCTGTAAGGGAGTCTGAAATTGGGCACTTGTGTTTGCATCTTATCACAATTTAACCAATACAAAACTTCAGACAAAATTATGCTACTTGCTTGTTTGTAATTTGTGTTGTGTGTGTATTTGGATTAAAATTGCAGGGATGCTTTCAGGACCAGACAGCTATTATGTCTGTGTAATCCAGTGGTGTTAGCCTGGAGCTATGAAGTAAATTATTCTGTCCAGAATTAGAGAGTAAGATCAAACTGATAAGCATCTATTACTATTCTATAAGTATGTATGAAGTAGACAGTTGGACTGTTCATTGTTTCAAATACACTTGAAAAAATTCCATGGTGTCTCTTTATGATTAGAACATGTTTTAGGTAATTCCTTACTGTTTTATACAGAACAGTGAGACATTTGGCAAAAGGCTGCTGGAGATATTATGAAGGCATTAAAGTCACCTGCTGTGCATTCCCAGACTTTCAGTAGATAACAAATAAAAATGGGTAAGAAATGTGTTTGGGGGATTTTGCATTTGTTACGGCAAAATATGTGTTATTTTGCATAATGGAACAGTAGGAGCTGTCTGACCTGTGATGTACACCTAAACACCTCATGCTTTAGAAATAGATAAGCTTTAGATAAACTGTAATTCTGAACGATTTGATAACATTTTTGTTACTTCAGTGAAAATTTGTATGTAAAATGAAGCTTCCTTCTGGAATTGACATTCTACAAACAACTACATTCAGAAGCTATTCATCAGTGATTCTTTATGTGCTACCCATCAGGACTGACAACAAAACCTGTAAACTTTAAGGGTCTTGAGTCCTGGAGGTGCAGTTAGAGTAAATAACAATTTGTATTAAACCTTGTCTCTTTTCCCTTCTTTCCTCCCTTTGGTTTCCAACTTCCTGAATTACTCCTTACCTGTCCAATTTTATGACCCTCAACACTGCAGTATCTGTGTATTGTTGTCAGTGTGTGGGAGTGGTTCTGGGAGAGTGAGGTAACTGAACAGCATGTTAGGGTGAAGAACATGGAGAAAAACTAATTCAGGTTTTTGAAGCCTTTCCATGTTTGCTTCGAACAAGCTGTGCAAATGAGGTTGAGGCAGACTGAAAAAAAACCCAACCAAACTGAGTGCCACCTTTTGATTAAATTGGACCAGTCAATATGCTGAGTAGCTAGATGTTTTAGTAGATTCATATACTGCTTTTTGAACTTGAAAGTTACAAAGTATACCTAATTTTAAAGAGTTTTTGACTTGGAAATTGCTGTGCAGGAATGACTAAGTAAATGTATCCAGCTCTGGAGCTGTGTGTGGTTTAGTCAGTAGCCAGTTTTGGTGGTTTTTCTTGTTTTTTGTTTGTTCATTTGTTTTTAAGAAAAAACATATTGCAGGTAAATATACTTAATTATATTAGTCAAGTTGCCTTGTTTCTTGCATGTTGATGCATTTGTAGTGTTTATTGTGACCCCTGCAGAGTTTCTGTAACTAAAAAGGGGTAGATTTGTGACTGAAGAAGGGCTTTAGAAACTTTTTCAGTGAATTATTAAGGATACCTGCAGACTGTGTAGAGATTAGGTCCTGGCAGTATGTTTAAAGAGGCTGAGAACATAGTAGTAATTAATTGATCCTTCCATGATACTGTTTGACTGAAGTATTCTTTGAGTTTTTTAAACACCACATTTAAAATTACAAGGCTTGTTACTTAAAGTATTTTTCATTGAACTGCGATGTTATAAGTTAAAAATTCTTCATAGAGTCACTACTTTCCTTAAAAATCAGAATTCTTTGGCCTGTGACTTAAGACTAGCAGGTCAAATTGAGTTGAAAGTTGCTACAGTCCTAGTGAAGACACTTGTAGCTGAAATCTATTTTGAGCTTCCTTACCTCTGATGCCCTATTTCTCTTACCTAATCAAAAGACTCCTTAATCCTTTTAAAAGGATGTAAAATAAGACAGTATTTATAGTTTCCATTGCAGACAACAGTACTGTACTAGACCATTTCCAGTAGTGTATTCCCACCACAAAAAATACCCTAATCTAAAGCTATGCTCTAATCGTTAACCAGCCTGACCAACCTGCCTGCTTGCTGTATCACCTTCTTACCTCTTTATCTGATTTGATGTTTTACACTGGTCATTTCTGTGCCAAGGAACTTGATTTTATCGTGTATCCCATACAGAGAACGTAGACATCAAGTGCTATTTTGTTTACTCTGGACCAAAATGGCTTTTTGTAGTTTGATGGCCTGTGGCCAGTATTTCAAGTTTATCTGTCACCTAATTTGAAACTTTCCTGCTTCATCATGGAGGTGAATAAGTAGTGTGAGTGGAATGTCTGGTAATGTTTAAACACATTTTAAGACTTAATTTTTAATGTAGGAAGGTAAGCTGCACCAGAGTTATCCATTCAGAATTTACTTACACCTTGAGATTCCTAAAGTGAAAGCAAGTTGAAAGAAAAACACCTGAGAATCACTTGCAAGTATAACTACGACTGTAATTCTTCCAGATTAAAATGCATTGGTGAAGCTTCTGTGTGGAAGGTGCTATATAATGTTAACTGTCATCCAATTAACTAGCCTGCTAACATCACTTAAAGAATCAATACTCAGAATCTAAAGGCTTGAAATTTTGGGGTTATTGCAATGATTATTTTTAAGAGTTCTTGAGAAAGAAGACAGCAGAAAACATTGCATAATAAGGAATCAATGGTGTTCTTCCCTTGATAATGGGACTAAGTTATCTCTGGCTTTTCTAAGATGGCTGACTAGCGTTTATTTTGAGAGCTAAAAATTAGAATTTTATCTGTAGGTGAAAGCAGCAGTCAGTATCCTCTTAAAAACACAAAATCTCTTTAGAAATGTGCGTTGTTCGTCTATAATTCATTATATGTTTCAGCAGTTCTGTCTTCTACTTGCAGTTGATGGTAAAAGTACGGCTGCTGCAAATGTTCTTACAACACTGGTTTTCTTTATAGAAAGTGGAGCAGTTCCAAAAAAGAAGGACCCCCTAACACACACAAGTAATTCCCTTCCTCGCTCAAAGACTGTTGCAAAATCCGGATCCACAGGCCTTTCAGGTCACCACAGAACGCCCAGCTACAGTGGGGTATCATCATCTGTGTCTAGACCAGCACCTAATCCTACACCTTCAGCTCACAAGGTACAGTGAGGATAAATATGGAAGTATACACTTGAAAAGTTAAGTGTGAATTCCAGAAGAAGCTTTCGTTTTAATACCTTAATTGCAGTATTGTAGCAGCAGAAAGCTTTTGAAAACACTGAAGCTCCAAATTTTTAGCCAGGCCTCTTGAGGTATGCTGCAGAGTGGATTTTAGAAATTGGAGGGCATCACGTGGGTGCGTGGCAAAAGGATTTGAAGTGTTATCACAGTAATGCATACTACTTGTTTTTAAAATTGCCTGCGAAGCTGAGTGAAAGTTACCTAGAAGAAAAGTAAATGTTATGTAAAAGATGGAGGTAAAACCTCTTATTCCAGAACTACAGGATTTTTTCCCCCTACATGTTCTTCTCTTCCAAAGCATGCATGCATGCACAAGTTGTTTTGCAACCACATTGAAAAGCAGGTTAGGGTTAGGCTGGGACTGAAGCACAGAAGTAACTCCTGTAGTAAGGATACAGAAAATTACAGCATTTCTGTTGACCCATCTTTTTCCCTTCCATCCATATTACCCAGTAAAGTAGAACAAAGAGCAGAATGGACTGAACATAACTGTTCTGTTAAAACATTATTGTTGCTATAAAATAAAATTAAGACTTCTAAGTGGCCTATTACAAAGTATGACAGCAGTAGGAATTCTTGCTTATAGGTCTTGAGAACCTGAGATGGTTTGTGATGCTTATTTCCAGAGTATGCTGGGGGAAATACTATAGTTAAATAAATGGATTTTCAAACAAAAAACCTCAAACCAAACACTCTTCACCACTGGAGCCTAAGATACCCCACTTGTGGCTGACTAATATGGTAGTATGATTTGTAGCAAAGTACAGCAGTAGAATATTGGGTGTTTGTTGACATGCAGTTTTACTGGAGCAAATGAAATGTAGATCTTATTTTGTTTAACACTACACTTTCAGAGTATTAATCTGGAGTTTCTGGTGTTTTTATTCTTTTTCCCCCCTCTCCAGGCTGCCCCTAAAAATAGCAGAACCAATAAGCCTTCTACTCCTACCACTGCTCCTCGAAAAAAGAAAGACACAAAGATATTTAGAAATGTGGACAGCAATCTTGCTAATCTTATCCTAAATGAAGTTGTTGATAGGTAAGTGTGAAGAAAAGTAGGCTTTTCAATCCAGTAAATCAGTTTTGCATTGAGTACAATCTTGGTCCACTTGGAATGAAATTAGTACTTCTGCTTTGTTGGGGTTTTTTGAGGATTTTTTGGATGGGTTTTTATTGTTGTTACTTTGGCCGAAGAATGTTTAAAAATACTTAACAATATAAGTTGTAGATTTTCTCAAAAGGGTTCTGTGTAAATAGTCAAATGCCTTAAATTAGTCAGCTGCAGCTGAAAAAGAGTATCTCATTGTTAGACTAATTAGTATTCCATTTCTTTGTTAGTGGGCCAGCTGTCAAATTTGATGACATTGCAGGGCAGGAGCTGGCTAAACAAGCTTTGCAAGAAATTGTTATCCTTCCTTCTCTTAGACCTGAGGTAAGCAACTGGGTATTGTTATCAGTCTGTGACAGGATTAAAGAAATGTGCTTCACACTTGAAATGATGATTCTTGAATCCTGTTTTTACTGATTGTGATTGCTAGGAGTAGCTGTGGGGTCCCAGCTATCTTGGAAAAGGATTTATGTGTTAAAATAGTACCATGAAATTCCTTGTCTTCTGGTTAATCAATATTGCAGAATGTGACTGGATCAAGAAAAAAAAAAAAAAGAAACTCCCTAAAAACTCAAGTCCAAATCAAATCAGCAAGCCACAAACCCCTAAAAAATCCAACCAAAACCATAATACCCCCACAAGCCCATAAAAAAACCAGCAAAAGCGAACAAACAAAATTTCTCACTGTTTGTCAGGCTGACTGTTCCAGATAGCTATAGCTGTGTGTCCAACCCTATACGGCCCTGTGAAGGACAAAGCCCACAACTGGAAGGGTGAAATGGGAGAGATTTGTATAGGTAAATTAGGTCATGACACTCTGTGTTTGGAAAAACGTTATTGTGGTCATCCTCTCTGTCAGGATGTTGGTTAAACACTGAATAGTTTATTCACAGATGGAAAGGATGCAAAGAAGTGCTGTGAACAGCCAAATACACTAAGATGTATAACATTTGAGGGCAATTTCCTCTTCACTTGGCTGCATGGAAGTTGATAATTTAGGCTTTTATTTATCATAGATGGTACCTCAACTACTGTGACTGTTTAAATTCAGACCTGGTCTGCATGCTACTGGAATTTTCAGAGCTACTTTTAAGAAAAAATTAAATTGGTCATTTCCTTAAGCTGAACTTACTAAAAGTTGCAGTACTCTCGAGGAAATTGCATGCAATGATTTCCTGCAGTGCTCTCATGAGACCCCACCTGGAGTGCTGTGTCCAGTTCTGGGGTCCCCAGCACAGGAAGGGCATGGACCTGTTGGAGCGAGTCCAGAGGAGGAACAGCTAGGTGATCAGAGGGCTGGAGCACCTCTCGTGTAAGGAAAGGCTGAGAATTGGGGTTGTTAAGCTTGGAGAAGAGAGGGCTCCTGGCTGAGTATTATTTCAGTACCTGAAGGAGACCTAAAAGAAAACTGATGAGGAACTGTTTGAGGGCAAGTAGTGACAGAACAAGGGAAAATGGCTCCAAACTGAGAGTAGGTTTAGATTTGGGTATTACGAAGAAATTATTGACTGTGAGGATGATGAAACACTAGAACAGGTTGCCAGAGAAGTTGTCGATGCCCCATCCTGGAGTTGTCCAAAGGCAGATTGGAAGGGGCTTTGAGCTATGTGATCTAGTGGAAAATATCCCTGCTCATGACAGGGAAGTTGGAAGAAGATGATCTTCAAAGCCCCTTCCAACCCAGTCCCACTTAATGATTCTATGATTCTTGAAGAAAAACTACTGTTTGTACTTTTTGTTTTCTTGTGGGTCTCATTTGTTACATGGACAGGTGACTGGAGTTGCCCTGTGGTTTTCCCCTTAATGCAGGTAGTAGTTTTGAAGCAGCATAGGGAAGAAACCTTAAACCTTGCATAGCATCACAGAAATACAAGCTGTAAGGAGAGTAAAGCTTTGGCAACAAATGTATGTGCTCAGATGTTGTTATAGTGTGTTTGTTACTACAGTGCAATAGTATGTCAAGTGTTTTGTTCAGTGACACCACTGTGAGCAGAGTGGGAAGGACTTGGAGATGGGATGCTTGGAGTAGCTTTTCCAGTAATGTGATATCTTCAGTAAGGTTGTCTCATATTACTGTAGCTAGCAATGGGTCTGACCTTTTTGTAGGTTGGGATGTAATAAGGACAGAGAATCCCATGAATTTTTAAACTTTCCTTGGAAGTAGGGTTGGTTTTATTCCTTGTAAAAAGAGCACAGTAGATGTGGCAACTGTAAGGGGATACTTAGTAAATTAACACTAGTTCAGTTTTGATCTTAATGAGTTTTGAACTCAAATTCCTATTTAACAAGCCAGTGGTATTTTGTAGGAGAGCAAAAGTTGGGGTACATAAGCAGGAAACATTGGTTGAAAACCATTTCAGTGGTAAGATGCTAATGAAATGCTAGCAGTTAGTTCAGACCATATTCAGTATAATTACCCTGTTAACAAAAGCTTGAAAAGCTTTGTCTATCTCTCAGTAATAAATGTCAGTGCAGCGGAACTGTAGGTGATGATCAAGGTGAGAAAGAGTTACAGGTTTGGTCTGGGTTGTGTGAAAATGGTGGAACTGCACAAGAATTATTTCAAACAAAAGAAGTCAGACAAAAAATGCACATGGTGGTAAGCAGCATGGAAAGCAGAAACACTGCAGTGTTCACTTAGTAAATAGCTGGGTAACTGCTTTTAGGGATCAGACTCAAGCACAGACAAAATGCTGTGGATGATGAAATAGTAGTGAAAACACATGTTGGTCAGTCATGAAAGAAACATAACACTGGAAATGGAGCTATTTGTTGTCATGGATATTGTGGAAAGAAATGCCTGCTGACAGTGCTGTTTACACATGGGATGTATATGAGATACCCTCCTATTGCTTTTGCTTGTTTATTGGAATTACTGGAATCTGGAAGGGAAGGGTGAGTGTGAGACCAGAAGAGAAACTCTGAAACTTTTGAGGGAAGGGGTAAAGACAACGTGCTAGAGAAAACAGGCAAGAGTAATAACTAAAAGTTAGGTATTCTGTGAGAATTTGTAGACTTGCCTGCACTAGATGTGGTGGGGGCAATTTTATGGAGTAGGAAAGATGAACCTAGTGCAAAGTGAGAGAGAGGAGATGGCTGTCAGTAGCGTAGAGAGAGTAGGTGGTTGTTAAGTAATATTTCAAATAATTTTGTTGAAAGCTTGTCTTCTCCAGCTTTCCTTATTAAATGAAACTTGAGGAGTTCTTCCATATGGAGTTAGTAAGAGCACTACTTTAGCTCTCCTATTGTACCTGTAATGCACCTGCATTACTCCCTTTTTAACTGGAATTGATGCTTTAAATTTGATAGGCTTGTCTGTCTCGTGGAAAGTGTTTTAAACTGCTTGCACAGAACAATTACAACATAATTTAGTTTCTGCATGGGAAACAAGAGTGTGCATTAGGTCAAGTTAGTAAGAGAGTGTAGTTCTCTCAAAGCCTGTTCTGTTGTGGCACTCACTGCTGCTGTTACTATCCGTGCTAGCCAGTGTCGTCAGTCTTAAACCATTCTATTACAAAGGTAAAGCAAGATTTTATTGAAGTCTTTGATGATAACTTATGATGATGTCCTTTTCAGTTATTTACAGGTCTGAGAGCTCCTGCACGTGGTTTATTGCTGTTTGGCCCACCAGGAAATGGGAAGACCATGTTGGTGAGAAAATTGCTTCATGCATGAGTTTGTGGGCTTAAAATGTAACCACAAGGGGTGGCTTTCAGTTTGGGGCTTGGACTAGTAAACTGTGCATTCTTACAGAATATGTATTATGGTGTCATTTTATATACAAAAGGGCAAAATTGTTATTAACCCTGGATTTTATGGAGAGAATTGCTAAACTGTTCTCTCTTTAATTATTTTCCTTATGACAAGTAATATTTTAAAACTGAAACCAGCAAGTCCAGGTTTCATTTTCAGAGAGAGCAAAGCAAGTGGGTTAATTGTTTTGTTCAACAGTGATTAATCAGAAATCATCTGCTCTCCACTGAAACATACTAGAAGTACATTTTGGAAATGGGGAGGGAGCACAATAGCAAAAAAAGGGATAGTCTCACTTGCACACTGCTGTGCAAAGAGTGTAAGAGCTGTGGAACTGCCTAGCCAGAGCTTTTTTCCTCAGCCTGATGTGCTAGATCCAGGGAACTGCAGCTCCATGGCTGTGCATCAGCCAGGGAGCATCGAGTGTCCTGATGTGGCTGAGCCGGGCACATCCTCCTGATCACATGGTGTGCCTGCAGCTGCACTCTCTGCTGACACTGGAGCTGGATCAGCTCTCAAGTGCAGGAGTGTGAATGTAGAGCAGCTCATGTAGGCTCATCTGTTATGTTTGACATACTAGAATATAATTGCTACTCACTAAAATTAGACACTATAAGCAGGGAATCATAATTTCTTGAATATGGTGAAACTGTTAAAGGAGAGGGTAGTCTGAATGAGCATTCCAGCTGATTATTTTCACTAGCTTTCCTCTGAAAACAGCTTTAGCATAGATAAAGATGGGGAAAAAAACACCATAATTTTTTATGTGATTTGATCGAACCAATGCCTTAAGTTACCACCCCTAAATTAGTTAAATTTAGGCTTAGATGTCTATTCAGGATAAATTGGAAGGGAAATGGAGACTTTTATTCTCCCATAGCAAGTTGTAGTTGGCTGTGGAGCTAAGGGGATAAGAAAAGTCTATGGGAGTCTGGAAATTTCTCTATTGGTTTGACTGCATAGCCATTCTCATTTGTAAGTGACCTGGACACAAGTTTTCTGTACCATTTGTAAGGTGCTCCCTTTGGAGAAGTAGAGGTTTTCAAAACTGTCCATCAGGACCTAAGTGGTCACTGCAGATGCAGAGAACTATCTTCAATATCATAGCTTTTAAAAGTACTTTTGTTTTTCCCTCCTTTCCTAGGCCAAAGCAGTTGCTGCAGAATCAAATGCTACTTTCTTTAACATCAGTGCAGCGAGTCTGACTTCAAAATATGTAAGTAGTGGCTGTAAAATACATTGATTTGAAAACACCCGTGCTTTAATTGGGGCTTAAGAAAACCAGAGACTTCTGATGAGTCCTTGGTGAACTGTTAGCCTATAATGAACATAGTTTTTAAAAAGCGACTTGTGAACTAAAAAAATTTTGGTTTATGCTTGTGATAAAGCAGTGTCAAAGGTTTTTTTAGCTTGGCAATGGCAGTATTGCATATGAGTGGTTGTGGGGTTTTTCATCCCTAAAAAGTGAATTAGTTGGGTCCCAGCTCTCTTTCACTCTGGTAATTTAGGCACCGAAGTCTCTTGACAGTTAACTCAGTTGTGATCATAAGAGAAGTTGTAGTGTTTCTTTTAAAATGTAAACAATACCACTGTATGTACTGAACCAGTGATAATCTGAATATGGATAAATGGACTGAGTGTGGTTGGTTACCAGCAAGATTTTGTAGGTCCTTCTGTTAACTGTCTTGTAATAAAAATTTTTAATCCCCTAAAAACCAGTTTATTGTTATTTTAGGTGGGTGAAGGGGAGAAACTGGTGCGTGCTCTATTTGCAGTAGCCAGAGAACTTCAACCTTCTATAATTTTTATTGGTAAGATCTTAAATGTTAACTCTTATTTACTTTCTTAAATTATCTTACTTTCTTAAATTATCTTACTTACCAAAGATTAGTAAGTAATTAACTCTTGGAATAGTTGGGTAAACTTCTTTTGGGTAATTCTGCAGCTCAAGAGAACTGTCTCAGATATCACTTGCTGGGCAAACAGTAGTTCATAAAAAGCGTGTTAGATTACTGTTACGTTATTTAGTTGGTTGTAGTAGTGGAAGAGGTGCTCTCTGAAAGAAAAATACTGTACTGTCTTTATGGAGTAAGTCCATTAAACATCAAACATGAAAATATGTTTTGCTTGTCCTGAGTAGCAGTTTATCACCAGAAAGAATTTTTTTTTCCCCCTCACCTCTCATCTGTGCCTGGCATTACCTATTCAAAGGCCAACACATCACACAAGTTTTTAAACTTTCCTAAGATCTGTCTGTCTCCTGAAGAATAAAGATCTGGTCTTTTTAATGGAGCCTTATATTAGCAAAGGAACTTAGGCAAATACAAAGACTTTGATGTTGTATGCTTAATTAAGATTATTTTTTTTTTTTTTAGATGAAGTTGATAGCCTTTTGTGTGAAAGACGAGAAGGTGAACATGATGCTAGCAGGCGTCTAAAAACAGAATTTTTAATAGAATTTGATGGTGTAAGTATTTAGTCTTGGTATTGTTTTATTTAGCTAAATTGGGTAATGTAGTGGGTGCCAGTAAAACCTATAGGTGAATTACAAAGGGTTTGGCTGCTGGGGCTTAGCTCAGCCTACCTCCCACCTCACCACAATTGGCAAACAGCTTTGTTTGGTTATTCCTTGTTTTCTGCCTGCTTACTGTGGTATTCTGGAAGATGCAGTCTGGACTGAAAGGTAGTGATCTGGAGATGAGCTGCGGTAATGTCTGGGAAGATTATGGACAGAGAAGAAAGGATAACAGATGGCAGTAGTAAAGGAGCTGTGAGGACAACTGTTCTTACAGGGCAAGAGGGGCATTTTAGGGTCATGGAGAATTGAATCCATGTCTGCAATTGCATGGCTTCATGAATCACTTCTCTTTATTCTGGCAAAGCAAAACAAGATTAAATGGCTTTTAAATAGTTTTCTGTTTCAAAGGAATATGTGTCACAAGCATGCACTGTCAAGGGGTGAGACTTGAGGGATGAGGATTTTCAAGAGACTAGTTCAGATTTTATATTTATTTATGTGTATATATATATATATATCTCGTGTATGCACAGTTCTGACACATCAGAAAGAGTCATTTCTGTATTAGTACACCTTTTATTGAACTATAACTTTTTTCTTGGTATCATAAGCTAGAGAAGACAGAATTCAGTAAGAAGTATTTAATGGCACGAATGCAATACCCAGGAAGAGGAACTGGATTTTATAGTGGGACACACAAATGAGATCAGAGTATTTTTCTGTCACAGTACTGTTCGTGTAGTGAATAATTTTACTTTGTGTTCCATTTGCACAATGGAATATTGCTACAGTGGTGAAGCAATAGTAATGAGGTACAGGAGGAGCAGATAACAACATGGAGAGGCAGCAAGGTTGGGAAAAACTCCAAAATGGATGAATCAGGACAAATAATGCAATGTGACAGTGATATGCAGAGATGACACACACGTGCAGAGTTTTCCCTTAAAATTAAAAGGGAAAAAGAAGCATAATGTAAAGTCTGCTGACTTAATATTTAAAGTGTAACTATGTCATACAGTATTTGTGGTGAACCTCTTGAACATGGTACAGTACCAATGAACCTAAATCTATGAAGAATTGAACACTAAGCAAATAATGTCTTTGATAGCCCAGAGTTTTCTCTAAAGTTTGGAAGGTCTAAGTCTCCATATTCTGGGGTATAAAATGAGTGAATTGGGAAGGAAATTGCTGTGTCTTTCTACTATTATAGTTATTTTATAGCCTGTTTTGATTACTGGATTCATGTGAGACCTGTGTCAGATGAATCTCTGTTCTGATTTGTGGTTCAGGCTATGCTTTAGTTTAAAGCTTTGATTCTCACCTTATAGGCTTCAAAACAGTGTTTGGCATAAAAACCCCAGAACAGCAGAAAGTCTCTGTTTTTTTCTATATACTTATCCCCTGGTGACTAAATTTATGAGTGCCTTTTATAGTTTTATAGTCTCAGATTTTTCCAGAAGGCCTTTTTTTTGTTTTGTTTTGTTTTTTGGGGGGTTTTTTGATTTTTTTTTTTTAGCTTTTCCTGGTTTGACTTTACAATTATCTGAGGAATATTTTAAACCTACCTTAATGGGAAAAAACCCCAAAGCATAATATATATTAAGATCCCATCAGTGTGCTGAATCCATGGCAAGTCTCTAATGGGTTTTATTGTATTTCTGCTTAATATAGACTGTGTAAACTGAGAGCTGGCTTGCCTTCCCACATTATATAGGTGCAGTCTTCTGGAGAGGACAGAATACTTGTGATGGGAGCAACAAACAGGCCTCAGGAGCTTGATGATGCTGTTCTCAGGTATCAAAACATCTTTTTCTGAATACACACTAAGATGATACTCATAATGAAGAACAGGTTTTGCCTAATGTCTTAGTGGAGTTTTGTAATAAGTAAAAGCTGTTCAGCAAGGCTAAGTTATTTAACCTCTCAAAGAGGGTCTCTTTTCTTTTGAGATGCATATGCACAATCATGGTGGTCTTGGAATAGTCTGAAACAGTAGTACCTGTTGAGGTCAAGTCAGTGGTATTTAAATTTCTTTAATATTTTGCTTTTTTGTTATTTGGATTTTAATGGCAAAATAAAGGAGAAAATTTGATCAGTATTGCAGATTGACCAGAAATTCAGTATTTCTTCTCTGTGAATATTGTCTTCTGACATCCCATGCAATTACAGATCTTGCTGTAGATTTGCCTTAGGACATTTTTGTTAGAAGTAGTCATACTTTATTCTCTTTTCATTCTTGATTGAGGAAAATAGATATGTCAGCACTGCCTGAAGAAATTATTCCCAAGACTTTTTTGTGTAAAAATTAAGAGCGGCTTCATTTCATTGCTGGTAGTTAGTCGTATTTCTAGCTTTAGAGTGTTTCTCCTCTGGGAGGAGTCTTACAATTTCAGATAAGAGTAAGATGGCACCAGTGGCATGTACATATTTTTTGTTTGGTTTTTCATGTTTTTTTTCGAAATCTCCAGTTCTGCTTCCTAGAATTTGATGATGAAAGTGATATTTGGTCACTTAACCAAAGCAAATGTTAGATTTGTATGTGCTAAATAGTTACAGAATAGAGTGAATAATGTATACGTTTGGGTTTTTTTCAGACGCTTCACCAAACGGGTATATGTGTCTTTACCAAACGAGGAGGTAAGTATTGTTTTTCACTCACATTTTTAAGACACAGGCAATTCTTCATTTGCCCTTGTGGATGATTACAGTTCCATGAACTATCTTCTGGCTCACCTTGACCATATACACTGTGCATTAATTCTGGGAACTGTTTTAAATTTTTGTCCTTTTTTTTTTTTCACTCATACTAGGAGCAAATCTCGTGGTAGCTACTCAGTACTTCTTGACTAGTGAGGTGTTGCTTACAGACTGGCAGACGTGGGCAAATCTGAAGTAGGACTTACAGGAGCATGTTTGTATGGCTGAAAGAGAGTGTTTTATTGCAAAAGACAGAAGTAATTTTCCTAATGTTTTTCAGTTCAGCAGGAGATCAGGAACTTTGATGAAGATTCTAATTCTTCTTGATACTAGTAGTTAGGCTCTCGGTCTGGTTTTTACCCAGTACTTATCTCTGCTCCTGAAGAGATGATATTGCACAGTCTAATTGCACAAGCACTATGGGCAAGTTTAAACTGGTGGAGCACAAAAGCAAAACTGACAAAAGCATAATTCTGTTCTTGCAACACAATTTTAAGTGTTCTGTGAAAACAAGTTTTACATCTGATAATTTTATCTTCTTTTCAGACAAGATTGATTTTGCTAAAAAATCTTCTAAGCAAGCAAGGAAGTCCATTAACCCAAAAAGAGTTGGCTCAACTAGCTAGGTAAGTATTTTGTAACCATACTAAATAAATATATTCCTCTACTGCATGCATTCATTCATTCTTTGATTCAGACTTTAATTCATTAAAAATGTAACTAACGTAAATCATCCGACAGCGACAACGTGAATTCATACATTTGGGGAAGATGATTCCCTGTCAGGCTGTATGAAAGTGTTTTTATATATGCACATGTAGGATACACCCAGTCAGGTTTCTGTTGTTGAAACATGCTCATCAGCTCTTTACTTTGAAGAAGAGGGAGGAGGATGCTTGTTTCCACCCATCCCTCAAGGAGTCCAGCTCTCCTCCCTCGTGCAAAAAGATAGCACCAGTTTTGCACTTGGCATTCATTTCACATAAAAGGCAAGATCTCTTTGCTGGTGCCTTGCTAGGCTTGTTGAATGTATTACCAAGATAGCAGAGCAAGCACTGGATAATTTTAGGTTCTTTTAATTTTCAAATTTTATTTGTAAAATGTGGGTTACTTTTTCCCTCCTGTTATGAAACGGAGTTGTTTTATGTCTTTCATCATTGAGATTGACACAGTACTGCTGTTGATCACCTAAATCTAATAATTTCTGTGAAGGAGATCAGACTAAAAAGCAGGTAGAACAGGAAGGAATGAAAACAGAGTGTGAGGTAGCAAAGATAGGCAGGTAGATGTACTTCAGTCTGTTTCTCTTTGTAGTAGGACAGCAGAGGTTAGCACAGTCTTGGATGTAGCATTTGTCAGCCTCTTAGTAATGTTGCAGAAGTTGATGTGTACTCCAACTGAATATATTCCTGTGCTTGAAGGTTGTTAGCTCAGGCCACATTTAGGCTGCAGTAATAGCTAAGTGGTGGAAAAACACAGAATCAGTATTCTAACTGCCAATATAAGAACCAAATTACAAATGCAACTTGAGTACACTTATTTTAAAGGGTTTAGAGAAAATGTAGAAGTTGAGCATCCTGCCTGCTTCTTTTTCCATCTTTCTTTGTTTTGAAAGAGAGAAGTATTTAACCTCCATTATAATTTTGTGTTCCTTTGCTCCCCTGCAATTTTTTCTATAAACTGTGACAGACTTTATGATCTCCGGAAGACTAAGCTTTTGTTGCTGCAGCTAGTTCTTACAAGGGTGCTGGTGCTGCTTTTGTTCTTAAATTTTCCTTTAGGTAACCTGCACTACTCATTTTCACTTAGGTTGGCATTTTGTATTGGTGGTTTCCTGGTTCAGTCAAGGCCTTTTTTCTGCAGAGTATTTCACTGGTTAACTTGGATATTAAGTCTGATTCTGGAACAGCTCCTGCAGAGTGTACAGGACTAATGAGGTTTTGGTTTTACGGTGATTGACAAATGTTGATAAACTAGTGGTACAGAATTCTCCTAACAGAAATGGTCAGTGTGCTTGGGATCAGTTTTCATCTACAAATCCTAGTTGCTGCCTTTTTTCTTTTCTGGAATGGTATTTGAGACTTGAATATCTGTACTTTAAATTTGATCTGTGAAAGATCACTTGCAGTGAAATATAGACCACTTATAGTGAGTACACTTCTGATTTATTAAACTTGAAAAATAACATCAAAGTAATACTTCTTCTGATTGAGTAACACTTTTATTATCTGCAATTAAATTGATGTGGTTTGAAGCAGGTTTTTTGTTTTTTCCTTCCTCCTTGACCCCACTTTTTCCTTTGCCAAAGAATGACAGATGGATACTCTGGAAGTGACCTAACTGCATTAGCGAAGGATGCAGCACTAGGCCCCATTCGAGGTAAGCTGCAGAGATTTTTACTGAGCTTTTGACATTAGAGTTATATTTTCTAGCATCTTTATAATTCTCAAACCTCTGAAATTTAGCTTTTTACATTGGATTTTAGTCTCTTCCTCATAATAGCATCTTTATAAGATTTACTTACACAAAACCTTGCAGCATCTCACCATGTGAAAAAGAAAGTTTTTGTGTCATAGGAGAAAAGCAGTGTGAAGTGTTTCTCGCTGATTTGTAAGGTTTTTAACTAGTGTCTTTCTGAGGCTGGTGTCAGTTCTGTTGTAGATAAATTACTACTTGAATAGCAATTGCTGATTGCATTAGCTGCCTTATAAAAGAGTCAAATCTCTTTGAAGTCTAAGGGAAGGAAAACTGAAACAAGCTATTTAATGGGATTTTTGTAGATACAGTTTGAATGGCATAGCTTTTTATATTTTTAACTCTTAATGTTGAATTGTGATCCAGATGGCAACTGTGAATGAACTAGAGTTTTACTTATATTGTTCTTTCTCTGACATGTCCAGCTAGGAAAAACCCACAGTTGTAATGTGAATACTTTTTCCAACACCTCCTCTCTTTGTTCTTTTTAACTAGCTAGTTATGTGTCCAGTAGCCACATCTGAGGGCACTGATTTTGTTTAGTGGAGATCAGTAGCAGGATTTTTGTGTAGAAAAGATTGTGAAGATTTGGTGTTAGTTTTCTGTTTGTAGACATATTGTCCTACTTTACAGAAAGGTTCTAAAGGCAGGCAGAGCAGAAGTGTTCTGTAATATCAACTTATTATGTGTAAATAAAAATTGCTACTCTCTTAAATTATTTATGGGGAGGAGAGGTCTGTTCATGTTTTGTGGGTGTGTTTGTGTTATTTTTTTAAATCCTGTAGCATGCATTTTTGCCAGTGCACTGTTCATGTTTTGTGGGTGTGTTTGTGTAGCATGCATTTTTGCCCGTGCATTATCTCTTTTGAAAGCAGCTGTTGGAATGTAATGTTTTTTACACATTTTCTTTCAGCTGCTGAATTTGTAAACCACATCTTTCACAATCCTGCATAATAACTGGGAAACAGAACTGCATTAAATGGCTCTCATAAGAGACATGATGTCTCCTAAGAATTTGAATATATTTATATAGAGTGGTGGAATCAATAATGTATGCATTTAGGTATGCAGGCTTTACTTTGCTGACAGCTCACTTCACACACAAGTCCATTTCAAGAAGAGACCATGTAGCATTGTGCAAAATATTTCTTTCACTTGCTTCTGTTTTCCATATAAAACAATACATTTTTGAAAATGTTTTTGTGATATTATCCTTGCCAATCCTGTCTAGATTGTTTTTCTTGTACTCTCCTAGCAAAATGTTTGCTGTTACATGTTGATATCATGATATTATTGCAAGTTAAAAAAATAATAAAAATTGGTGAACGATGCAGGAATGTTCAGATCCCATGAGTGCAGCATAGGGCAAGAAGCACTGTGATGTGCCCTGCCTGATTTTATTTCAGTGTTCTTGGCTGACTGTTCCTTCTGTTTCCTGAAATTCAGTAGGGAGGTTGTGGATACCACGATCAATATGGGGGAGGTAGCTCTGTTGGCTTGTGTGCTGTTTTCCATGCTTTAGGAGGAAGGAATAATTCTGGTATCACTTTGTGCTGCATCTGCAGTACCTGAGTGTGGGAGCAGCCTGGTTGAGGAGCTGATAACTGGGGAAGAAGGAGGCAAAAACACCTTTCTTTACAGGAGACTGTGTTGAGGCAGAAAGGTAAAATTTTTAGCTGCAGGGCTTTTTTCCAGAATATAAGTGCTTTTAACATGTTTTATTTGTCAGAAGTGATTAAAGTTTTCTTATGAAACTCACCTATGTGTTTTTATTTTTACAGAATTAAAACCAGAACAGGTGAAGAACATGTCTGCCAGTGAGGTAAGCTGTTCCAGCCACTGTATTTTCTCCTTTGAATAGAAGGTTTTCTCATTAGAAACTTTGACGATCCCTTTTTTATGTGTTGTATCATACAAAATAGCATAATTTTGGGGGGTATTATCCTTTTTAATCACTTATTCATCAAAGAAAATTCTTTAGAAATAGAGACCGACAAGATCTGTCCTCAGATGTCAGAGGTTCATGTGTTGTTTGTTGGCTTTCAGGCTTCAGAGCACTTATTTTTCTGTTAGTAAGTCTGTTGTTCTTTAATTTCAGCTGTCCTGTCTTTTCCTTCACACTGAACTGCAGTATTTGTTACCTAGCTGATGTCAGAGGCCTGGATTTTATTTACTCACAGTGTTACTTCCAAGAGAATTCCCAGAAGTGTTATGTGAAATTACTTCTACCCCCTCCACCCCATCTTTACATAAAGCAGGTTAACTTAGGGAGAACCTAAAACAGATTGGTGCATGTGTGTGTGTAGTACTTGCATTCATTGACATGGATCAACATGAAGAAAAAGATTAAGCTCCTGACCACAAACTGCTAGAAAAAAAGAAAAAAAAGGAAGCAATTGGTCCTGGGTACAGAAGTTTCTATTCAGGTGTGTGTGCAAACCATGGTTACACAGGGAAAATTGAGCAAAACTTAATTTCTCAGTTACTTTTTGTGTTTAGCCTGAGGTTGTGGCCAAAGGTGGAAGGATTTGTTGCAGGAGGATAACAGCATCTGTGATAACTTGTGATGTCCTCATATACACCAGCTCACACCACCTACTGAAACAGGAAGAAATTACACAGTCTAATGAGCTATTAAATAACAAGGCAGATCTTACTATTAGCAAGTGTTAGCTTATTAAAAATGTTGCATACTGGTAGTCTTAAATTACAAGACTCTTGCATCAGGTCATAGAATAATAGAACACCCAGTTTGGAAGGGACCTTGAAAGATCACCTGGTCCATCCTTTTGTGGGAAAGGGAACACAGATGAGATTATTTAGCACTCTGCCCAGTCATATCTTCAAAACCTCCAGCAATGGAGACTCTACCACATTCTTGGAGCAGTTGTTGCAGTGAATGTCTACTTTCTCTGCAAAAAAAATTGTTCTTACATCCAAGATGCAGCACTCGTAGAATGTGTTTTGTTAAAAGTGAATACTCAAGTACTTCTTGAATAACCTGAAGTAGGTAAACTGCTTGTGACCCTGATGTTATTCATTTTCTGTTCAGATGAGAAATATCAAACTGTCGGACTTCACAGAATCTCTGAAGAAGATCAAGCGCAGTTTGAGCCCTCAGACCCTGGAAGCGTACATTCGCTGGAACAAGGACTTTGGAGATACCACCGTGTGAGACACTGCTTGAAGTGAAACACTGCTGCCTGGGGAGCAGCTGCTGCAGAAAACTGGGAAGCAGCCAGAGTTTACAGGACTTTACAGATATTTAAATATCTGCATTAAAACTTGAGATTAAGAGAAAATTATACAATGTGAAATGTGTTCATCATCAAAGCCTCCTTGGCATTTAGTGAGGATTTACACACTGTAAGAAAGAGCACAACAGGACTTGAGATAAGTAAGATTCCTAGCAATCTGATTCTGGTTTGAACATTAATATATGTATATTGTTTCTGCTACAAGTCTCTGATGATATTGATCATTGGAGGACCTTTCCCTTTGTTGTGTGTTTTTTTGTTTTTAATTTTGCCATGACGTTGATGAACAATGAACTTGGAACAATGGTGTTCAATTTGAGGTTTGTAAACTGCAGTACATTTTTTTGACTTTTTTTATCCTTAATGTGCCAAATAAAACAATTTCCCTGTGCAGAGTGGAAGAACAGCATTGGGGAATTACGATTATTAAAATGTTAAAAGTAGCTGGTCTGTTATTTTTTGTCTTTTTATTTTGTTGTAATGTGACTGAATTGTTCACAGGACAGGTTTAAAGAAGACCTTTGATAGCAGAACAGCAAAAAACTCCAACCTTATAAAACCAACTCAAACTGCCTTTTAAAAGAAAAATTACTAAATAAAAGAATAAACTGAGATACTCATTTACTGGCAGTATTTTCTCTTAATGCATTTTGTAACGCTTTCATTGGTAGAATGTTAGCTTATGCTTACAGTGTATAACTTGAGCCCAGCTGATGTTTGAGAGAGTAGGTGATGCTAATTGTTGAGTTTCAGAAATGACGTGTTTCTACTCTGTATTTTGGTCTGTTTATGATAATTGAAAGTAAAATTTCCATTGTGATAATTTTTTTAATCTCTACATGTAAGCATTAAAACATGAGGCAACATGTTTAATACATAGCACACATTAATGTTTTTATAGCTTTCATATGTTTCAGTTTATATATTAAAGTATGAAACACTCAACTGATCTGCTTTTTTAAAAAGAAACTGCATCTTTGTACAAATACTTGTTTTTATTATATAAATGACAAGCTATTAAAAAAAAAAAAAACAAACTCTTAAATGATAGCCTTTAAATACCATAATAAAGGAAAGCATTTTTGCCTTTACTTCTAAAGGCCCAACATCTTGTTTACAAATTCTACACAGATTAAACACAGATGTTTGCAAGGCAGAACACTAGTTCCTTGTTAAAGCAGGTTTGTGGGTTGTTGAGTTCTTTGCTTTTTGGTTGGTTTGGTTTTTTTTTTATACACCTCTCCCAACTTAGTGATACTGCAAAAATGCATATTGTTTACTGTTGTTTTAATGACAATGAGTTGTAAGTGTTATTTGCTTTTGGTCTTAACAGAAAATTTGTTTTTAATGTTTCATTTAACTTATTTTTTTAACTACTTACCTGAAAGTTGACTATAAATAATATATTATATGTATATGTGAAAAGAAAAAAACAACCCTAGCTGATAGATGCAGTTGTAGGTATAGTAATACTCTGAGAGGACTGTGCTCACTGTGTGGTATTGAGTACTAAATAGCAGAAACTCTGTCAGACCTTTGAGATGCACATATGCAATACGTTTGGGATTTTTTTTTTTCAACCAGAGATGCTTTTAACTGATCTTAAGATTAAAAGCAATTAAATAAGAGAAGATTGTGTTCCACTACTATGCCTTTTGAAATAGTCTAACCAAACCACTTCTAGCCTTCTAAGGATAGGACTCTCTCAAATGTATGTCTTATGTAAATGAAATGTGACTTTGGTTCCTCTGATTCACCTTTCTGGAGAAATGCTAAAAGATTTTGGATTCTTAAGTCTCATGTCTTGCTTTGCCTTAGTTCTGCCTTCAGTAGACCATCTCTGTTGTTGGAGATCCATATTTGTAATATTCTTCATAGTGCTAAGTATGAATGTTACTGTTGTATTCGCATCTGCCAAATAGCTACAGCTAAGACAGGGCCTTGGTTTTATTCATAAAGCTTTGACAGACATTCCTTGAGATCCTTTGCAAATGAGGACTTAGAAGATAATGCTTCTGGTTTTCAGTGTTCCTAAATGATTGTTACAAAACCATTGGTTTTGTCCACTTAATTTTGAGGAACATACTGGTTATTTATTTCAAATGCATACTCACTGGCATGGGATAGGTACCTGAAATGTTGAGGTAAAAGTCCCCATCTCCTAAACTACCACCAGTATGCAGGACAGAGTCAGAATCACCAGTTGCTACATAAAAAGAAAAGGGACCAGCCCTTTCACTAGTTTGTACAACCAGTTCAGGTCAAGAGAATCTGCATGACTGGTACAGCTGCTTTTTGGTCTTCTATCATGCCTGATTGTTTTCTGCTTAGTGGATGAACTACAGCACTCTAAATTAATGTTCGCGCACAGTAAAAAGAAGAAAATTTTGTTCTGCAGCATCAGTTTGCCCCACAGCTGCTGGACTCTTAGCCCGTGGCCAGGTGCTGTTTGGTTCGTAAACCTCCTTTAAATGTCTTGTCTTATGCTATTTTCTGAATAGTGTCTTTTAGGAATAATTCTGTTCTGCTTAAGGCATTATCTTGCATCTTACTCCTCGTTTTACATGTAGTAAGTCCCAGCTCAGTGATTCCATCTATATGTTGGATTAACTGTGTATAAGAGCAGATCTGGGGAAAAACAACCACAACAATGGAAAAAAACCACCAAACCTTCCCCCGCCCCCCCCCCCAGAAAAAAAAAAAAAAAACCAACCAAAAAACAGCACAACCACCCTGAACAACCTCAAATTACCTGTATTTCCCAAGTCTGTTGTACTTACACAGAACTTTACCAGCTGTATTTGCCATAAAATCAGGTTATGTTCTAATGCAATGTATCAAATGAGAATGAACAGGACAACAGCTTGGGTGCTTTTAACCTTTGTGAAGACTACTATTCCATTAGCTCTCTGGACTGATTTTTTCCTTTCTTTTTCTTTTTTTTCCCCACTTTGATTTTCTGTGAATCTGCCCACTGCTAGTGAATGAGCAACTTGACCCACTTTTTTGACATGATTAGTAAGCAGCTTGTCTGGCTCTCTGCCAGCGTGTTTTACTGACTTTCAAGTGTAGCAGTTACTGGAGGGAGAAAATAAAACCAACCCAAAGCCCTTGTGTTTTTCTAACAACCTTCTTCATACATCTTTCTGCTTTTATTAAGCAGGAGCCACATTTTTTGTCTTTCAACATACTGGAAGAATAGTATGTAGATTGCTCTTTCTCCTTAAAATGAGAATTCATTGTATGTTATGATGCTCCTGTTACTAATGTTGACTTTTCTGTGGACTACATCAAACCTGTACAGTCCTCTGCGTATGCAAAGACAAAATCAACACAGCATATTAAAGATAAGCCTTAAACTGGGATATGTATGCACAAATAAGTTTCTCTGTCCTATTAGTTTCTTAGACTTTACAGCATTTAGAATACCAGAAAAATTGGCATTGTGCCCCTGAGATGTCTTGCTGACTCAAAGCCAGTTGCTAGTACAGTTCTGTTAAATATGGCCCTGCAACTTCATGTAGGTAACAAATGTGGTAATAACACTTAAAAATGAGTAAGAATGGGATCTCTGAACTGAGAAGGTATGTTGTCAGAGGCTGTTGCTGGTTTTTCTGTTCCATTCTTTTATGTGTTTTTAAAATGACAGTTTTTATACATATAACTCAATTAACCTTACCTCCTGATGTAGGATAAATAGTATTTTTTCTATTCTAGACAAGCGGGGTTTAGCACTGCTTGGCACTGCTGTCAGGTCCCTCTTACGAAATTTAAGTACTTTGTACTGGGAATACTGAAGTCAGATATACTGGCAAATGGAGCTGAGACATCTGTTCTGCAACTGGAAAGCAGTGTTCTCCTTAGGGTTTCCTGAATCACCTATGGTGAGAATTCATGCCCTAGATTTCCACAGTGCTTTCCTACCCAAGACATGGATGATGCGTAGTTGTGCCCAGCATGTGCTTCTCTGGCTTCTCCAGCTTCAGTGATGCTTCTGCTTGTGGCAGCTTTGGGAGGCAGCCAGTGCTACTTTACCTGACCAGATTTTCATTCATTTTCCGTGGTGCCCTCAAGCTTTTGTGATGCTTTAAGTTGTTGGGGTTTCTACCAGATATCAAAAACAGAATGAAAAGTAGCAAGCAGGTAGTGAATGCAACTAGCTATCTCAGTCATTGTGCTAATTAGAGACAGTTTTATTATTAGTTTCTCTTGAGCTGCTATTTAGTGTTGAAGAATGTTGTTTTACTGACCTATGTGAATTTTCATGCTTAGGATGATCTGCAGACATCCTAAGAGATGGCAAATTGATCACCTATTTTCTTTTAGAATTTCTTATTTAATTATAATTTTCAGTATCCTTTCTTTTAATTATGGTAATTATAATTCCACAGGATGAGGAAGTTAAGCTGTCACTTCCTGCAAATACAAAATCATCTTGTAAAATACGGGGAAATGTGTATTCTGTTTTTCCTGCTTCTTGTGTAAATCATTAACTGTCTTAGAGTGGAAACTTCTTACCTTGTCAATAACTACCTCCTGAGTTCAGCAATAATTGGCAAGGTACACACTCCTCCAGTGGATGGCTCGACACTGCAGATTCTTCAGAGTCTGATGTTTTGATTTGAAAATGCTTGGCATTACTTCTGGAAACTATGGTGATGAACCTTGTTTTGCTGTAAGACTCTCCTTGCCTTCATAAGATATGCTTCTTAAAAAATCCTTTCTTCAGAGAGGTGGCTTTGAGGATTAAAGGTCGGTGCTCTGTGTAGTTGATTAATATGGGCGTAGCGGTCAAAGATGCTGGGCTGTGGCCTCTCAGTTATGCAGGGTTCTCTCCCATTAGAAGTGGGGAAGAAAGTATTTTGTCTAATAGTGGCACACCTGTCAAAGGGACTGGAAATACAGAAACTGCTTTTGCTACATGATTCCCATTTTTTGTCGTGTGAAGGGCTAGTCGGTATTTTTCAAAATCTGTATTAAAGCGATGAAGACCAAAGGTGGGGACAAAACACCATACCACGCCCCCATAAAATATATCGGACAACTCCAGTCTGGGATGGGACTAATTTTTGTATTTTGTTGTTGAGAAGCACTTTTGTTTCATTGTTCTTTTAAGAATGTTTTCTGAAATGTTAAACATCACTTTACTAAAAATAACCAATGTAAAAAAGCATGACAAGCAGTCACATAGCTTTAGCTTACAATAAAATGTTTCATTTGTCCTGTTATTACTGTTTTCTTGTCTGTTTATCAGATAAAATGTCCAAAACTAATAGCCTTTTCATTAAACTTGAAGCCTGTTAAATTGCTGCTAGTTTAAAAAAAACAGATTTAAAAACATCAGGTGTTGTATACCAGATGATGGAACAATAAATATGTAAATAAATCAGTTTCTAAAGAACATAACTCAAGTTCTTAAAACTAATGTAAACAGAAGTGCTACTTCCTAAATAAATGTGCTTAAACTGAAAGTGTGTGCTTATCCTAGTCTTGCTAGATCATGGTGAAAACCAGGAGTTTTCACATAACTAATTCTGGTGGTCATGAGGAAGTTCTGAAAAATTTGAAGCAACATTTGCTTGGCCTGAAAACGACTTTTCTTTTGCTTGGGGGAGAGTGCTGCTGCTAATTCTGTTAACAATATAATTTCTTTACTTATTCCCATTGCCTTACCATTTGTAATTCTCTGTCTTGAGGCTGCATCTGGACTGCTTACAGCTATTTCTGTTATTACAGTTACATCCTGAAGATAAAATTAATCAAACTTTATTTTTTTTTTTGATTCATTTTAATATTACATATCTGACAGCATTAGGGGTCTCCCAAAAAACAGCCATGACCACTGCCTTCCACACATCATCATGTCAATCACTGCTAAAACAAATCAACCAAATAAAAATCAATACAGTAAGGAAGAAAAAACCCCAGTATTTTGGACTGAAGCATGTGAGCTATTCCTGCTTCTGTGAAGGAAAAATTCCTTAGGACAGAAAGACATCACTGTGTCTCTCCAAGGTATCTCTGGCTGAAATACTACTTTTTGGGAGTAGATTTTGAACTACTAAAATTATTTCTATTGTGTAATTTTGTGTATAGGTTACAGACATTCAAATACTTTATTCTTGTAGAGGAGATAATCAGAAAATTAAAATCAGTGAAGAAAGAAGAGCATGAAAAAACATATCTCACCATTTGTTATTTTGAAATCTACAGAGATTTTGGTTTTGGCAGCATACCCTGGACTGAAGTTTATCTTGGACTCATTGAGTTTTTCCCATTCCAGCCAAGGAGGGGAGACAAGGCTGCATGCCTAGTGTTAGATGTTGGTGTGTCTCAGATGTTTATTTCTGTATTTTAGTGCTCTAGTTTGCTACAGAAAAGTGAGAAAAAAAGTAAGTTAAAACTTGTTGGGTGGGGGGTTTTTGTTTGTTTTGGGTGGGTGGGGTTTGTTTTGTTTTGGGGTTTTTGTTCTCGGGGGTTTTTTCCCCACTCATGCCATCTTTCTGCAAATTTCCAAATATGTTGTGAACTTGTGAAATCCAGCCTGTTTCCTATAAGGGTTCATATGGCTCTGGAGAAGACAGTTATGCAACTTTCCCTAAGTTATTTTTTATTCTATGTATCATGATAAAACAGAAAATACATGTAGTGGTGAAGCAGAAAAATATAATTTAACTAAAATCCATCTCTCAACACTTGTGGGATTATTCCAGGTGCTGTGTTCCAGCTATATTAAAAAAAAAAAAAAAACCCACATGTTTTCCAGAATACCAGCCTACAAACAACCTACTGAGCAAAGTGTGGTGGTTTTACCACACAGTTTTGAAAATTCCACTTTTTTTGCAAGTGTATACTGTAAGAACAATATGTTCTAAGTCTGTAACTTCTGTTATTTTTAAATCTCATTTTAGTAATTTCTAAAAGGCCACAAACTTGCTTCAGTAAGACATCCTTGAAGACTCTTAGTTTTGTTATATGCAGAATGCTAGTATCAGCTGTGCTATTGTAGAACTTTTCTTCTGTGAAGGCACTTCCTCAAGTGCAGCTTCTAATAACTAACTGTTGGCCTCTTCTGGGAAGAAATACCCTGTGACATCAAATAAATCAAAAAGCCCAATACTATGTCAATAATGAAGTAACCAAAAAACTTTGTGGAGCAAATTATACAGCGCTTCACCAGAGTTCTGATTTCCTCATTAAATTTGAAAGGAGGCAGCAGCTGCAGTTTGAATTTCTTGCCTGTCATCCAGATTCTATAAAGCACAAATCTATTTTCTGCAAATAGTTTCCAAAATTTCTTCCATACACTGGAAAAAAGCATACTGATTACAGCCAAGAACTTAGAATGAGGTTTGAGACATTAAATAAATCTTAAGGAGTACAATTACCTGATAAGTCTGATAGTTGTTCTTAATAATGATACCTCTAAGGTCCAGATACACTCAAAATCTGGAAAATAATTTTTTTTTAAATCAATAATCACAGGTTCTGCAAATGCACAGGAACAGGAGACAATACACACAACTTAATTGTGAAGCACATCAAACTGTGAAGCAGATTAAAGACTGGCTTGTTCCTGGTTTAATTTGATGTACAGGTCTATCTCTCACCCACAGTCAGGTAAGTATTTTGGTATGTTTTACAGAACAGGTGAGATGCAAATAACATTTTTAACTATGGGTACTGGAGAGCTGAATAGACTCTTTAAAAGAACAAAGATTAAGGCAGTGTTACAGAAGGTTGTTCCAAGTTTCTTCCTAGGCACAATAATCTGTCTTAATAAAATATCTCACTTCAATTTTTATTTCTCTCTTTTCCACTTACTTTGCAAATAATAATAAATAATAAATAAGCTGTTTTGTGAATAAATTTTTCAGTACATTCAATCCCATGCAACTTTGGGATTGCTTTGCAGCACAATTTTTCTTAAGAGCTATCCGAACTTCCAAGATGATTTCTGTTCTGGATTTCGTTGCACTTTCCATGCAAAGCGGTCCTGCCGTGCACATTCCTTCTGACAGGAGCTTCTGGGCACAGTGAAGCCATCTGCTGGCCATCCAGCCCGGGGGATCGCTGTCACCTTGTGTCCCGGCGTTCCCGAGCCTCGGGAGCGGTGGTCAGTGGCAGAATCCTCTCAAAGTCCGCTTTGGAGAGCAGCTGTCTCTGGGATGGGGCTGGACTGCGTGCGGATCCCTCCTCTGGACTGTGATGCTTCTGATGTTCATCGTGTCCAGAGCCACGGGGGCACTTCTGGGAATCTCAGCACACAGTGACTACATTTTCAACATAATTCATGTACTTTGGAGAGCTGCTGTCCTTGGGGGGTTTCGCTGGGGAAAAGAAATTCCTTTTGCAGGCTGTGTCCTGAGTGCCCTTAACGCCGAGTACCGCGGCTGGCGGCGGGGACCGAGGAAGGAATGCTCGTCCTGGGAAGCAGATCCCTCCTTGTGGAAGTGCTGTAGTGGAGCATCGTGACAGACTATGGCAGGCCTAGGACTACAACACTCTTAAGCTGTGCCATGGGAGGTTTAGGTTGAATACTAGGAAGAATTTCTTCACAGAAAGGGTGGTTAGATACTGGAACGGGCTGCCCGGGAAGTGCTGGAGTCACCATCCCTGGAAGTGTTTCAAGGAAAGAATGGACATGGCACCCAGTGCCATGGTCTAGATGACATGGTGATGTTTGGTCACAGGCTGGACTGTGATGACCGTATGTCTGTGATGGTACCACCCGTAGGATCCCTTTCCTCGGGCTCCTGCAAGCAGCGGGCACACGAACGGCAGAATTCCGGGGAAGCCGCAGACAAGACCTTTATATCCAAGGCGGGCCTCCAGCCCAGCCTGCCCCCGGCTGGGGAGGAGCGAGGGAAGGGCGGCTGGGGCGGCACATCCCCGGCATCGGCACGGAGCCGCAGCCGGCTCCCGGCGGGCGCCGCTTCCGCCACGTGTCCCGCCGGGCCCGCCGGTTGCCGCGGCGACGGGAACCTCTCCCGCCCCTTCCGGCCTCGCATGGCGCCGTCTCTTCCGCTGCGGGGAGTAATATGGTGAGTGGCCCCTGCTGGGGGCAAGGAGGGAAAGGGGAAGGAAAGTCGTGCGTGGAACACGGGGTGCGGGGGCTGCTGGCAGCGCCCGCTCCCTCGCCGGGGCGGCGGCGCCGCGGGGCATCCGGGCGGGCGCGGCCCGTAGCGGGCCCGGGGCAGCGCGGGGCGTCGCTGCCCGTGCCGTGGTTCCTCCTCGGGGCTCTCCGCCCGCCCCTCCAGCGCCGTCACCGGGCCCCGGCCGGCCGGCACCGCGGGCAGGGCCCGGCCGGGTACCGGGGCTTGGGGGGCTCCTGTGCCGGAGCTGGCTCTCGAACGGGGTCGCCGGGCTGCGGTCTGAGCCTCGCAGTTCTCCTTCAGCGGCACATCGGTCAGGGAGCTGGGACTCGCCGCAGGACAAACAGGTTGTAGGGCGCTTGCTCCCCGGTGTCGGGGCTGTCACTCTGTGGCTCGCTTCTCAAAGACGAAAACTCCATCTTTTGGGCACGACCGCCACGTGTGTGTGTTCGTCTGGGCGGCGAAATGTTCCCCTGTCGTGCTGAGCACCACTGGAGGGACATCGGTGTCCTTAACAGGTGCTGTCACCTGTTGGAGCAGACAGTGCCTCTGGCTGCAGAAACTCGTCTTCTGGAGCTCTTCTATCGCCTCAGGGGCTGGCTGAGGTGTGGGGCAGCCGCCCTGCCCAGCTCCGAGCTCTTGGCACAACTGCAGGATCTAGGGATGCCTTTCTGCCAAGGTGCAACCCGTGCTGGAGCTGTTCCAGGGGTGCGCTGTGGCCTGCCTGAGTTTGCACAGGTCCCCTGTGGCACCAAGTACACAGCTCTGATGCATCCTTTGTAAACAGGGAGGTGTGGCACGGTGTGGCTGGGCAGTGACACAGTGCCAACAGTGTGGGAAAGGCCTGGGTGCAAAGACAGCAAGGAGGGCTCCCGAGATGTGAAGGGTCTGGAGGGGCAGCCGTGTGAGAAGTGGCTGAGGTCACTTGGTGTGTTCAGCCTCAGGAGACTGAGGGGAGACCTCTCTGCAGCTACAGCTTCCTCAGAGGGGGAAGAGGAGGGGCAGGCGCTGATCTCTGCTCTCTGGTGCCCAGTGACAGGAGCTGAGGGAATGGCCTGGAGTTGTGACAGGGGAGGTTTCGGGTGGCTATAAGGACAAGCTTCTTCACCCAGAGGATGTTTGGGCACTGGAGCAGCTCCCAAGAGCAGTGGTCACATCACCAACCAGCCTGACAGAGCTCAAGAAGTGCTTGGACAATGCTCTCAGGTACATGGTGTGACTCTTGTGGTGTCCTGTGCAGGGCAAGGAGCTGGACTTCTATGATCTTTGTGGGTCCCTTCCAACTCAGGATATTCTGTGATTCTTTCTGATTCTGTAACACAGCAGCTTTCATAAGCAGGCTGTCCACTGCCTGTTAGAAAAGCTATCCGAGGTGTTCTGGCATCCTGCACGTGTCTGCTAAGAATTAAAATTATCATCTAATGATTTGCTAATAACGAAAAGAGTACGAGTAAGCCTGTGTTTTGTCCCAGATGAGCTAAACATGGGATATGTAGTAGTGCTCAAAGTTTAATTCATGGCACACTTGTATTTCTTAGATAATATGTAATGCAGCTGTGTTGACAAAATGTCTGAAAGTTAATTGAATTTATTTTGGTGAGGAACCTATTAGTATGTCATTTTGCCTTCTGTTAGCAGCTAAGGTGTGATAGCTTCAAATCAAGCCTTATTTAATCTGGCCCCAAACTGCTGCAGATGACAGACCATCCATTACAAGTCCACAGATTTCGCTTGCAAATCAGAAGGGTTTTTCATGTGGAAAGCTTACTTCTTTGTGGGGAGAGCAGAACAGAGGACAGCCAGAAGCTTGGACCCTCTGAGGAAAGGGAGACAAGTGTCATGGCAGATGAATTTCTCTGGTAGTCTGCTCCCTGTCAGGCTTGCAGGAGAGCCGGGTAGCAGCCCCTTAGGTTAAGTCAGAGCCAACAATCATTGTTGGTATATTTCGTTTTGTTGGTATGTTTCATTTTGTTGGTATATTTCGTTTTGTTGGTATGCTTCATTTTGTTACTGGCCTTGTGTCCACCACATCACCAGCACTGTTTTTACTTTAATGGTGAGTTCTCCTTTATAAACAATATTTTTCTGTTTAATAAATCCGTTGCCTTTGGGTGAGAAGTGTGCGTTGATGAAGAAAAATATTTGTGTTTTCCAACTGTCTTGTAGTAGTTTCATCTAAAAGAAAGTTAAAACCCACTCTTTAGGTGATACTTTAGTGTCTTTTCCAGTAAACCTGATTTCTGGATTATGTCTAAATGAAGCTTGATTCTAAGTCATTTGTCATTCTAATATAATAAACCATGTGAGATGGTTACCAAAATATTGTTGAGTTTAAAGCTTGTGATATTTCTGGTTAACAAAAAGTTCACTGTAGTCTTTGATATAACTGTGAAAATAGTTCATAAATGAAAATTTCCTTTTTGCTGATTCAAATTATGATTTAAGTGAAGTTTTTAATTAATTAAACTATTGATTTTTTTTAAGGGGACAATACACCTGTTCCGCAAATCACAGAGATCATTGGTTGGAAAGTTAACACATGAATTTAGGCTGGTTGCAGCAGACAGAAGGGTAAGTGTTGTTTAAAAAAACCACAATTGTAATAAAAATGCATTAGCTGTAGTAAGTTAAAACACACTATTAACTTAAGTATATTATGAATTTTTTTCTTTGTATTTTTCTAGCTGTGCTTAAAAAAATAATCTTTGAAGTTGTATAGTTTCTGTGGGTTCTCCCTATGAATTAGTGTTCTCTGGAATTATATCTGGTGGGTTCAGTAGAACTGTAAACTGAATGTGTTCAGATGTTTTTGGGACCGAAGTTTCAGCACAAATAAAGGAACCCACTAATATAAAGTTGCATGAGTTGGTATTCAAACGTCAGATGCTGTGTGCTGTAATGAAATGCAAATATTATAGATGGGTGGGATTTTTTTTAGACCAAAAAGGTATTTTCAGCATGGTGGCATTGATAAATGAGTTTTAAAATAATCTGTAAAGTTAAAAATAGAGTAAGGGCTTGCTGTTCTGAAATGAGTCGTGAATATTTGGGAGGGAGGAGAAGCCAATTCTGTTTGCATGATGAAGTACTGCAGTATTGTTTTTTAAGACTGGGTAGATGTATTTCTGTCTTGTAAATTTTGGAAGGTGTAAATACATATTTATTCTCATCAACAGTCCTGGAAGATTTTGCTGTTTGGTGCTATAAATTTAATATGTATTGGCTTCCTGCTCATGTGGTGCAGCTCTACAAACAGCATAGGTAGGTGGCTCTCATGTACTGAAACTGTAACTACCATGTGTTTCTTAGCTTGTGGAGTTCCAGCTGACTGAAAAAGCCAAATCCAGTACTTATTGGAGTTAGCGGTTTGCACAGCCGGGTTCGGAAAGTGCTTCCTTTGGATTTGCTGCAGTCAGCTTAGAAGCAGTTGTCACAGACAAGTTTGGATGGGTGGAAGTCCTTCAAAGTTTGCACAGTTTTTCAGTCCTGCTGGTAATTTTTTTCCTGCATAGCTTCTTCATCCTTAAGACTGAAAGCCAGTAGGCTTTTGAGTTACTAGTCCTCAAGCCTGTTCCTTGTACAAGTAGCATCAGTGACATGCAGAGACCCTCACTTGCAGTTGAGTGAGGATGTTTGTGGTGTGGAAAAGGCTTACGACTTCTTTTCTTCCAAGGAATGCTCAGCAGTAGCCAAAACACGGAGTGTTTTCAACACCTCTGTAGCTGCCACTGTGAAGCACAGCACTGAGGGCTGCTGTGGAGAAATGAGCTCCAGATCAGCCAGACCCAGTGCAGTTTTGTGTGACTTCTACTTTTGGATAGGGGCTTCGATGTACTTCCCATCACCTATGCTGAGAATAAAATGCTATTTCTGTGTTAAATTTTTGGTGCAGGTTTTCTTTCAGTTTCGAGATAGGTTAGAGATGCAAAACAAGTAAAATATTCAGTTTAACCTACTTTTCACTGGAATAACACACATAAGAGATCTCTTACTTTGGTAAGTGATGTGTTTCTGGAAGATCTCCTGACTTTCCAGTACTTAAATTCCAAGTCACAACTTAGTCACAAATGTGATACCTTTTGTATCTGGGCTTTATTACGTGCTTTAGTTGAATTAGGATTGCCATCATCAACCTGCTTATGACATTAAGCATATTGGTGACTTGTTCTATCAGCAGAGGCAGTTTATGTAGGTAGGAGATTGGAAAGAGCTGTACAAAAAGGACTTAGAATACAAGTGATTTTTGCATTGAAAATTAAGTTTTAATATTTACTTTTATTTACAGCTTTAACTGCTTACACATATTTGACAATCTTTGACCTTTTCAGGTGAGTTTTTTTCCCATTTTGTCTTACTGCTCATTTTGTCTGTATATTTCTGTACACTTAAAATCTACTTACAAGTTCAAAGGTATGTAACATAGTCATCAGTATAGAAACAGTAACTGGTTTAAATATAGCTTAAATGAGTACAAAATTGCACACAATAAATAGATTGTAAACCCCACCATAGCTATGTTGGGAATGACTAGTAACTTAGTAACTGATCAGTTCAATCATGAGATTTCTCTGTGCAGATACCTGACAACATAAAGCAATATGGCACAAAACTGTTGTCTGATTGTTTTCTCAGAACATTTTCCTAATGCCATAGTCACTGATTGTGAAGTAACCCTCAGTTTTAACGTCAGGAAACAAGAAGTATGTAATTCTATTTCAAAAATATTTCACAAGCTAGATACCAAATATTCTGCGCATAAGGTCGTTAGATATTTTCAGTATTTTTCTTGTATTCTAACAAAATTGTATTAAAACAACTTTTGGTATGATAGTTCTGAACACTTTTGCTAATATTGCTAATACAGACATGAAATATGTATTATCAATAAGATACAGATGGTAGCAGTGGTTGGGAAATAAAATGTAGATATTTTAAAAATATTAGCCTACATTACCTTCCTTGCTATCTCACTATCTTATAAAAGGTATAGGTCAGCTTTCTGAGTCATACATATGTCCATTACCTACTATAACTATCTGACTTACAATAAAACATTCATAAATGACATCAGCAAACATGCAGAAACAAAAAAGACTTGTTGGGATCGGCACAAAAAAAATTTGATCTGTGACTGCATTAGAATTAAGATTTAACTGTAATGAATCTTGTCTTTCTCTTATAATTTTGTATCTACTGAGGTTTTTTTTTGTCTTGACTTTTTTGTCTTGACTTTTCACCTTGGGAAAATTGGGGAGAGTGTTGGTGTTGTACTTTCCTTACTTAATTTGTATGGACATTTTTTTTCTTTTAGTTTTAGAGGAGGGTAGATAGAACACCCCTGGCACTCCTGTCTTTGGGTGGTTAGGGGTTGGACTAGAAGATTATTCTAACTCACAGCAATCTCTTTCAAGAATTTTGATTTGCTGTAAGGGAGAACAATGCTCAGTAATTCTGCTGCAAAAGTAAATTTCTGCTTCTTTTCTTTTTGTCATTGCCTGGTTGCATATAATAGTCTCACTGAGAATATGAGTTTATGGCTTTGTATATGAACATTACTTCCTTTTTACTTTTACTTTTTATTCCATGCAGCTGAGAATCAAGTTGTGAGGATGTGATTGTTCATCAGTTGTAGGGATGAGTTCTTGATCCAGTGTGATTTAACGTTGTTAATTACAAAAGGACTGCATGAAGCGCAGATGGCACTGAATCTGTGTGGATTCCAGTTGAAAAAATTGTTCAGTAGAGAAAAAATGGTTCAGTAGAGGAAAAATAGGCAGAAACTATACTCATCCTTGAAACGTTCTGACTACTACCATGGAGATTCCAAAATAATTGGAATTCTAGATGTTCAGTATGAGAGAAAAATTTGGACAGAAGATAGCAAGAGAGACCTGTGGCTGTCAGTGAATGCCCAGTTAGATTAGAGGTTGTGTAGGTGAATGCAGCCAAAGAAAGTTAATCTGTTTTGGCTGCATACATAGAGAAATTACACTGTGTAAAAGGCAATACTTGGTGTGGCCTGAGACTTACTCTAGAGTACTAAATCCAATTCATGGTATATCTCTAAAAGAAGACTTTAATGGAGAGATTTCTTTGCTTTTTCTTTCAGTCTTCCGTCTTGCTTATCAGCTTCCTTCTCATTTAAGCAGCATTTCCCAGGTTACAGCATTTCTAGGCAAGTTCAGAAAGCACATGAGGAACATTTAGAACATCACTGTGACAGTGATGGAGGTTGAGTTCAGGGCAAGATATGGCTGTATTCCTTTGTTGAGTTCTGGTGGCTCAAGTGTGTATTTGTACATTATGCAGTTTGTAAAGGCTGCTGTTACTTATCACAGTCTAATTCTCCCCTTTTTTCAGTTTGGTAACATGTCTAATAAGCTACTGGGTAATGATGAAGAAACCCAGCCCAGTGTATTCATTTGGGTAAGTACTAATAACAAGATGTCGTGTTTGATAATACAGCATTTCATACCTTGCTCGCTCTCATTGCCTGGGTCCTGAAACAGCCATCAGTAATACTCTGTATGTGAAAGGGCCTAAAAGTGAGCAGGGGAAAGACTTTATGTAAAGAACAGTACAGAGTAGGGGATGGACAGGACGAAGAACTAAGAAATGCTTAATTTTAAGGTGTCTCTGAGTGGAGTGTTAAAAGAAACTGAAAATAATTACTATTCTATAAAAGAAACTGAAAAGAATGGCTATTCTATATTCTATAAAATCTCCAGTTTCTTCCCATCTGTCTGCTGTTGAATGAATTGGAAAAAGTAGCTGTATCCCACTGGTTCTTGCGCAGAAAAGATTCTGTTGGATGCATTGTTCAATGTTCAGTGTTTCTAAACTTAATTCTCAAATTTCAGGTTTGAAAGGTTTGAAGTTCTAGCTGTATTTGCATCTACAGTTCTGGCACAGCTTGGTGCTCTTTTTATACTGAAAGAAAGGTAGGGTTATGTACTATTTTCTTTAATTTTTCAACATATGAAGATAAGTCCAGATCAACCAAAGCACATGCATTCTATGAGTACTGTATGTGAACAGATACTTTAGAAAAGACTTAAAGATTTTAAAAAAATATTGCTAAATCTTACTGCTTGCTTATATTTACTACACTACGTGTAGGCTTTAGATGTAAAGATGGAAATTGATAAATGTTCATAAAAAGCTCTCTAGGGAAAGATATAATGGTTTTAGGAGTACTTTTTCCAAAAGTTTGTGTAATTAATTTAATTAATTTCCTTATGCATCTTGACTTTTTAAGCTCATTAACAAATAAAACTTTTTTGGTTTTACTTCTGTTACTTTTTGAAGTCAAGAAGCTTCATAATATATCAAGGATCTGAATGTTGAAAACATCAACTTCTTCACTCCCTCAAAGTTTGTTCAAGTATTAATTTGCCATACCATGTATGCTTGGGAGCATTTGTGTTTCAGGACATTAGCCTAAAACATTATTTTTGTTTTTAAAGTTGAAAAAGCTTTTGTTAACATCTAGAATTTAAAACTGCAACAGTACACCTTCCCTTATTTTATTCAAGTGCTCTATTTTCTGTGTAAAGGACTGTATTAACAACTTAGTAACTTTATACTATAAAGTCAATGTATTGAAGTGACAGTCCACTGGAATGAATCACCCTCTGTCAAAATCTCCAAGTTTTCCAACATCAATTTTAGGAAATTCCACAAACTTAGCAGATTTTTCTGTTACAACTGAAGCTCATTTGTTAACTCACTGGTGGGTGAAAAAAGATCTATATCTCCACCCCAGTATCCAATGTTTACTTTATTTGACCTTGCTTAGTGAGGTTGTAAGTCAGGAATTTCAGACTTAGTTTGTTGTGGTCACCAGCACTGGTGGTGGTGCCAATAGCAATATTTTTTGCATGTTCATTTACAAGCATATTTTTATCATGTAGGCAGCATTCATGGTAGCTGGCACAGTTTGGAAATATTTGGGAAGTCTAAATCACATCTGCTTTGATTCAGTGTTAAATGCTTTCATTGCTTATAAAAGTTGCTGTGTTTATTTAACAATCCATTTTTTTGCAGTACTGTATCTATCAGTTTTTGTTTATGAATGGCAGCTAATGCTAAGGAACTGTAAAAACATGCTTCAAGGCATGTATCAAGGCTTTACTGTATAATATAACTTAAATTTTCAATTATTCTCGTAGTGCGGAGCGGTTTCTGGAACAGCCTGAGATACACACGTAAGAAATTATTTTAACATGTAAAATGTGTTGTCCTTTTGTGTTTCTGATTGTTATCTAGCATATATTAGTTGTGCAAGTGCTTTCAGTACCAAATTGCTTTTGGTGCCTTGGCTTCAAACCATGTGCAGGCTATAGTGCAGACGGTTCTTTTCAAGGTACAATTGAAATTTAATGCTCATGTTCTCTCAAGTAGTGATCTAAGTACATATTGCTGCTTTTCCTACTTCAGTTCCTTTTGTTTCTTGTGGCCTCTTGGAAGGCCTGGTATGTGGGGGGAAGGATGCTGTGGTCAACAGGGAACTGAAGTTTTGCAAAGAGGGTTCAGACTATAAAGACCACGGGGAGAGGAAAAGCAGGTGTTATGGGGCAAAGGAATGGGACGTGGGATGTATGCTGAAGTAGTTCTGGAAGAAGGTTGGGGGTATATGGCATGATTCCATTGAAAGCTGAGCTTCTTAGCTGTGCTGCTGAGGGGACAGTGTGTTTGTATCTTCAAAGGGCAAATATATACATGTGTGTGTTTGTGCAATTGGTTAATAGCTGTTACTCGACATTACCAGCGTTGTGTGATAACAATGTACGAAGTTCAGTGATCTTGTACAACCCTTACAATGATAATACACTGCTGGTTATTAAGTATTACACTAGTTTATCCTACTGGTTTTCAGCCTCAGTGAATGAAACCAAGCAAAATATTTTGGTACTGTTATTGGTAGTTACAGCTTGATGGCATGTTCTCTGGTTATGGGAAATTAAGACACTTTTTCCCCCTCCCTAGGGGACGACTGCTGGTTGGTACTTTCGTGGCTCTCTTTTTCAACTTATTTACAATGCTTTCCATTAAGAATAAGCCTTTTGCTTATGTCTCTGAAGGTATGTGATAAATTAGACTATAACAAGAATTCAGAAAAAAATGTTAATGTTCCTATTTTTATCAAGGTATAGCTTACTTGTCTGGTAACTTCCTTAACTAGTGGTTGTATATTACTATTACCTCTGTTAATATAACTTTGTGCAGTAGAATTGCCATCTGATTTTCAACTTCAGTTTGCTTATAAGGCTCGAAGTAGTCTGAGGTCATTAATATGATAAACCAAGTATTATTTTAATGCTTCAGTATCCTTTATTTTCAATTTTTTGAATGCAATCAGTGGAGGCATGTGACAGATACCAGAAATTTCAACACATTTTATGGATGTATTAATGAATTAAAAAATAAGTTAATGCAATAGTTCTTTTTTCCTCTTCATTGGTAAATGAAAAGCTCTTTTACTTTTTCATTGTGAAGTAGGCTTGCAGTCATTCCTGTAATTGTAAATTGTCCTGTAAATTGTCCATAGTTATAAATATCTAATTTACACTGTATTATATAAAAGATAATGATTATAACCTGCAATTATATTTGTATTTAATCAGTTCAGATTATTATGAGAGATGGATGTTGTACTTGCTGCCTGGAAAAGACAGACCTGGGTCTTTTTTCAAGTGCCTGCGTATCTGTTGAGATATATTTACTCATTCACAGTGTATTTATTGAATTCTTCCCTTAAAATATAACTTGTGTATACTTTAATATGTAGTAACTTAAAAGTGGTACTTAAAATTGTGGTAACTTTATTACCTTCTTTCTTTTGCAGCTGCCAGCACAAGTTGGCTTCAGGAACATGTTGCAGATCTTAGTAGAAGGTGAAGCTTTATATTGTTTTTCAAAATCATTAGCTTCTGGAAGGCAGTGTTGGTTTTGTGTGTATAATAACATTTTGGAGGGGTATTGAGGCATAAACTTGTATTAGAGCTTTTAAAATATCTTTACCTACTGGAGGTGTCATGTATGAACTCTGGAGTAAACATTGTCTCCCATATTTCCCAGATACATCAATCTAACAGAAATACATCTTTCTGGGTATCTTTTCTTTTGAATATATGTGTTCAGTACATTGTATGTAATTCTCTTTGGATGAGTTTAGGAAAACTAGCATTATCCTGTACATACCTGAACTGCATTTCACAGCATGCATTACTGAGTGATATATTTTGTAATAATTTATGTTTATTTACTTTGTGGGCTGGACAAATGATTCAGATGGTTGAGTTTAAATGTGATATATGAAACAGGTAACTCACTAAACCATAGCTATGGAAACTCCTGACCTGTCCAGCAGGAAACTGGCAAGTCCATGTCTTCCAGGGATATAAGCAGTGTTGATCATTCATCTTATCTGTTAACTGTCTTGCTTTTATTGGATATCTAAATGCAAGATAACGTTGTTTGCAAATAGTTTTGTCAGATGTCAGGGAAGTTTATTTTAATCCATACACATTCTTCCAACTATCTGTCGGTATCAAAAGAAAAATGTTAAACCAAGCTGTAAAACATGTTAAGTATGCTTCAAAACCCATCTGTTTCTGCATCTCGTGATCTTTTTTACAGTTAAGGAGAGCACAGAATGCTGGCTTGGTAACAGAAGAATTCATTTTATATGGGTATAAGATGTTACATCATCAGAACCAAAATCTGCGAAATATTTTTGGAAGACTAATAATTAGGTTGCCAAGTTTTATTGTAAAAAAAAAAAAAAAGGTGGATACCAATCATGGGCAATAGCACAACTTTCCTCTTATCAGTGTAGAAACACAGTTTTAAGGGGAAGGACATTGATGGATAACTTGAAGGAGTCCCAGATCAAGAGTAATATTATTTCTACTGGGTTTTGAGATAACCTGTATATAGTTAAGTCAATATAAGTAACACCCCATTGAATTAGTATGTATACAGCTATTTCAGATGTGTTATGTGAAGCAGTGCTGATTAAAAAAATACCTGCACCTGTATATAATTATGTTGATTAAAATTCTTAAAGAAGCAGGCCAGCACATGATGTCTAAACATTAGTTTGCTTTAACCATAGCAACGAAATATTTCATTCACTGGGAAGTACATAAACTCCTTTCTCTCTTCATACTCCCATTGACAGGAAATAGCTATAAATAAGTAATTTTTGCAGCATTCCCTCATGCATTTTTTTGGTCTCCTCTTATTCAACTACTGGTCTTCTTCCTCTTTTAAGACTTCATGAATTAGTTACCTTTGGCTTCGGGACACTTTTGCACACCAAGGTGGCAGATGGATTGAAGACTGGTGATACGCAAATCTCTCTCTATGTACATCTCTGTAATACCAGTATTGAACCCACCAAGAACCTGTGTTGCAGGCAGCTGATTCAGCTATATCAAAGAGCTGTGTTCCCAGAAAAAAAAAAACTTGAGTAATTTTTGCTGACAGCAGCCTTTGAGCAGAATTAGTGAGGCCTTTACAGTGCTCATCATATGCTATGACAGCAAGGTGTGTTAGAAGTCAAATGCTAAATGATGGGTGTAATTTTGGAATTTCAGAGTAGAAAGAGAGAGTAGAGGAGCTGGCTGACAACTGCTTTTTCTGTTTTGTTGCAGTATTTGTGGAATCATCCCAGGATTGAGTAGCATCTTTCTGCCACGGATGAACCCTTTTGTCTTGATTGATATTGCTGGAGCTCTGGCTCTTTGCATTACATATATGCTCATTGAAATCAAGTATGTGCAGTTGTTGTTTTAAAACAGTATCTCTTTTTGTATCCAGTTTGTAGGAAAATACATTTTTTACATGAAAGAAATGCTCTGATGTAGAGCTGCATTCTGTATGAATGGTATTGCAACTCTGAATGCATCTGTCTATTGTCCAAGATGAATGAGAGTTCAAATGAGATTAGTATATGTAAAATTCTGTAAGTTTATATAATTTAAAAGAATGAAAAAAGAACCATAAGTAAGTTGTTCTGCCTTTCAAAAATGTAAATGCCAGTGTTTCTTTAAAATTGCTCTTTTTCCCTAGCAATTACTTTGCTGTGGACACAGCCTCTGCTATAGCAATTGCTCTGATGACATTTGGTACCATGTATCCCATGAGTGTCTACAGTGGGAAAGTACTACTCCAGGTAAGGCAGCCTTACAAATCAACAGATTTTGTCATTTTGGTTTTGTTAAATGGTCTCATTAAAAAAAAAAAAACAAAAAATCTGTTTTAAGCTTGCAAATAGAAGTGTTCCTATGGGAATTCATGATGTGCTACAAGAATGTTAAAAGTTGTGCAAATATGCGTCACGAAGTCATAAGAATTTAATGAAAATGCCATTTGTCTCTTGTGTGGGTAGACCAGACTTAAAGGCTCTCTTACTTCAACAGGGCCAGTTAATCTTTATTATAACTTGTATTTTCTTTACTTCTTCTTTTTGAAGACAACCCCACCTCATGTGATTGGCCAGTTAGATAAACTTCTTAGAGAGGTAAGTCAGTGTATAATACATAGCACAGTGTGTACAGCTAATAAGCATTCAGGAATGTGAAGAATTTTTCTGACCAGTCCAAGAAGTTTGCTAAAATTATTTTTTTAGTATTCTTTTAGCTGCATGTAGAAAATACGAATCTTGCTTTCCAAGATGAATAGTGTCTTTTAGGTATCTGGAACAAATCTATTTAAGTAGTGCAGGCTGTTTTTATTTAAATTTGAGCTACTATTGAAATGGTTTACAAATGTGAGTTGAAGGAGGAAAAGGAGTGCAGGCAGCTGTTGAATTACAGCATATCAAGTTAAGAACATACTTAAGTTTGGCAGCAAAAGTTACTTGAAATATGTTCCTTAAAACTTTTTTGATGGATTTGGATGTTTAAGGGTAGCAAAAGTGCAATAGGATAAGTGTTAGTGACATTAACAGACATCATCTGTTCTCTGTATGGAGCTTTTATTTCACTACTGAAAATTATTTGTTATTCAGTTATGTATAAAAATGTGTTTCTAAAGGGATTTGAAATTTCTAATTTATTTTCATATTTGTGGATGTTTGTGTAAAATTAGGTTTCAACTTTGGATGGTGTGTTGGAAGTTCGAAATGAACATTTCTGGACATTAGGTTTTGGCACTTTGGTAAGTTATACCTTTATTATCTTTCTAGGCTTCATTTTCAGATACTATTTAATTTTTTAATTTACATAAAGTAAGATATTTCTTCTGAAATAATAACTGTAAAAAATTTTGATGGAGTCAGTACTCAATCCATGTGCTTTATTGCAAAACTTCTCTTCCTCTGTCCTTTACATTTTTTAAAGCTTTGCTGTTGGTTAATGTTATTAATGTATACTGCAGTTCTGGCTTAAAGCATGCATTTTTGCAACTGTAGAATTTCTTTTGTATTTTGGAGTGAAGAAAATGACAAACAATGGAAAAAAAATTTTTTAAATGGTGTGTTAGTGTATATTGTCTAGGAAAAGAGAAATAACTGTAACCCTTCAAGCAGGAAAGGTCTACAATAGACAGTAGAATCATATGTTTTCAGCATTTCTAGGGGAGAAGGTAGAGCAAAATAATTACAGTTGTGTACCAATAATTCTGTAAGCTGAAAGAAATTAAGGTGTATTTTTTGTAATACAAAACGATCACCAGAACTTGGTTATTCCTAAGTTGATGCAGGTATTTTGTGACAGCTGGAAAAGTAAGACTCTTAGAAAATGTCTTCATTGGTTTCTTCCAGTATGCTGCCCTTCTTTAAACAACAAAAAAGGCATCTATTCTCTCTTTCTGATGTAAAAATAGCTTTCAGTTTACTGTTCTGCCACTTATGCCTAACTTTGCACTTTGTTCTTTTGAGCCATTTTTCTCCCCCAGTTGTTGCCTTTCTTGCCAACACATGTTGTATTGTATAGATTGGTTGTAAGACTCATTTCTCCTGAATGATCATCTTGCTATGCTCATAAGAGAGCAACACATCAGGAAAGATCAGAATGTGTCCTGTAATAAGGTTCTTAATTTAGACTATAGTTTCCACTGCAAAAGGTCTTTGTGTAATTCTCTGTAGGATAATTTTCCTCTTCTTTAATGCACGTGGAGAATCTTTATTGGGGTAATAATTAACAGCCAACTTGTTTTTGTCACTTTCTAGGCTGGATCAGTCCATGTCCGAATTCGGAGAGATGCAAATGAGCAAATGGTACTTGCCCATGTCACTAACAGATTATACACATTGGTCTCGACCTTGACTGTTCAGATTTTCAAAGATGACTGGATCAGACCTACCTTATCATCTGTGCCTATTGCAAACAATATTCTGAACCTTTCGGATCATCACATTATTCCAATGCCATCTTTGAAAGCTGCTGACAATTTGAACCCTGTTACCTCCACTCCAGCTAAGCCTAGCAGCCCACCACCAGAATTTTCTTTTAACACACCAGGCAAAAATGTGAGTCCAGTCATCCTTCTAAACACTCAGACAAAGCCCTATGGATTGGGCTTTAATCATGGATCTGCACCCTACAACAGTGTACTCAATCAAGGACTTGGAATACCAGGAATTGGAGCAGCTCAAGGATTCAGAACTGGTTTTGCAAATGTCCCAGGCAGATATGGAACAAACGCTCGTGGTCAGCCCCGACCATAATAAACACCATTATTTATTATACTTAAGGGTATTGACTTAATTCTTTTATTACCCAATTTTTATAAGCATTTGGAATGTCACATCATTCTGAATGGCTGGGAACAAGTGCATTGTTCATATTCATGAAGTGGTTAAATAGCAGTTTCTTCCTTTGCATCAGCAGTAGCCTGTGTAATGCCACAGATATTTTGCAGATTTACAATACTTTACAAGTAGTTTTTATAGGGTGTCTATTTCTACTCATCTTTTTTATCCACTTTTCTTCATTTATCCAAGAATGTATTGAGATGCAGCACAACTCCCTAAGAGAATAAAATTGTCACCAGGTAGTATTTTTTTTAATTCTAATGAGAATTACTGGATGCTGAATAGCTCAGAGAATAGGAAATGGCAGAAATACAAGTCCCAATTTTCAGACATGTTTGATTATTGTATTAAGCCATGCTTGGGCCAAATCACAATTAGTTTTGGATTGCAAAAATCCATCAATATTCATGTTATGGCCATTGTGAAGACAATCTGGCATTTCAGATTGTAATTGATTTTGCGAGAGAGTGTTTTTACATTTTGATTGATGCTTTTATAGAAATTCATATGGTTCAGCAACCATTTTCTAGTTGTAAGTATTCCATTCTCATCTCTGATATTTCTTACTTTTTGGTTTAACTGCAAAATTATTTAGCAATATACTGAGAAATAAAATACTTAAAACTTAAGATTTTACAAGCACCTCTTTTTTACAATTAACCCTATTGAGGATACACATCAGATGACTGTTGTTTCTGAAGCCAGTATTTAATTTTTGACTACGGAGAGTATTCTGTTATTTGACTGTGACTTTGTATTTTCCTCTTTGTATTTTTTTAATGTAGTTCCACAGGCAAAAGTAATTTATTTATATTCCTGGTTTATATCCAGAGTGCAAATCAGTGATGGCTGAGAATTTGTAGTCACTGCTGGAGTGCTTAACTTTTTGGGCACACTCGGAACACGACCACTTAACCTGTCTCTGCTTTTCCATTACTGTCCTACTGTACACTGAGGTGTCTGCATTTCTCCAGGGCCTTTCTCAGAGAGCTCTTCCCTCTCATCGCTGTCTTTTCCTTCTCTGCTCTGACAACAGGGAAAGGCCTTTTAGAAATACTTCAGGTTTTTTTCTGTTCCCCTGTGCAGTATCTACATTACAATTGCTCCTCTGTACATTCTTCTGCATCTCTTGGCCGTCTAGGAATGGGTTTCCACTTGCAACTCAGGGTGCTATATATTGGCTTCCACCTTGTTCATCTGTGTGCTAAATTATGCACTCCACTTCCGTGAGGTGGTTACATGGAGCTGTAGTATCTCAGGGATTCCAAGGATACTATGTTAACTGAAGATAATTGCTTTGATGGAGAAATCTTTCTTATGTGGATCTGAGTGAAGAAAACAGCCTTCATTTGGATTTTAAAGATCTGTGGCCTCTTCACTGGCTGAGGATTTATTTTTCTTTTTCTGTGTAAGAATATTTCTGTTTTTCTCCCCCCTCCATGACCTGTATTTCTTGAGCCAGTGTTTGGAGGAGGGAGTCATTCTTGCAAAAGCAAGGTGGCATTCTGCATGATGGAGATGTGTCTTTTGGGGATGTTTCAGGCTGAGGGTAGTGCCCTGGCTGCCACTGGGATGCTGTCCATGTAAGCTACAAGTAGGGAATCTAGTTCTGTACTTCATTTGCAGTGAGAGTAAAAATTTCATTGCTCTGTTAGAAAATGTAATGACCTGGCAAACTTCCATTTAAAGATTACAGTGAAATTACAATGATTGGCTCTGTTTCTGTGAGGTCAGTATTAACTCAGTAATCACCTGTGGCCCATTATCCTGTCTTTCTGTGAGTCTATTACGTGTGCCATTGCTGCATGGAAATTCACTGAAGTACAGAACACTTGAACAGATTCTCTGTACCTCTTGGGTGCTGAACTAGACTGCACTTTCTACAGCATCTGCAACACCTTAGAGCCAGCAGAATGTTTACAATACGCTACTCTTGTGTGGCCTGGTTAAGAATTGTTCCTTACTCCAGTTTCATAATCACATGCCCTTTTTCTGATATTTTTAATACATTGTATTATATTGAATGCATGCTTACTTGTTTTCAGTAGAAAATTAAATCTCCATTTTATTAAAAAATGAAGCTGATCTCTGATTTAAAATGAGAAGGGAGGGTGAGAATCCCAGAATTCTGAGTGCAATATAATCACTTCAACAAAAATACTTTTTTGAGTGATTGTTTACAATATATATAATATGTGCAGATGATAAAGATTCTTTTAGATATTAGAACAGCTTTTTAGCTGCTTTATTGTTATGAATATATTAGAACATTTGTTAAATCAGCACAGAGTAAAATGTCTCCTTTTATATGAGGAAAATAAAATCAGTGTAATTCGTAACTGACAAGGAAAAAGTGGAATTTGTGTACAAGATTTTACAGTTATCTTTCTATATATATTGTTTAAGATGCTCTCGGGTGATGCTTCAGTCTCAATGAGCAGGTAAGTCAAACTTCAGAACTGTTTTGCTGGGTGTAATACCAGTGTAGACTGGGTCCTTGGAATAATTCTGTAGAAAGTGGGTTTTTGTACATTTTGCCTTTTCTAGCTGCGTTTTGCTGTTAGGCAATCACAATCTAAATGTTTATTTGATACATAGTGAATAAGAATTTATAATTTGTATCATCTTCATTCCTAATGCTAGGAATGCTGTCTCAGCTAGAGAGAAAAGAAGACTGGTACTTGCTGTCATTTCTGTCTGCCAGAGGGTTTGGCATTGTTACTCCCTTAAGTTGTTCCAGCTGTGATCGCACAGGATCGCGTCACTTGTAGGTAAATGCATCCAGCTTTAGAGAGTTTGAGGGGCACGTACCATTATTTGGCTTCAGATTCTTGTGAGAAACTGCCTTTTCCTGATACAAAAGGAGCCAGAGCACCTATCACAAGACAAATAACTACCATATGGGGTTTTTTTCAGCTTTACATGTTAAGTGATGGCTCTTGAGTTCATTCTGTTCTGTATTCCCGTAACCCAGGTGGTAACCACAGACACCTTTGGCACACAAAGCCATGACAGCCTTTTGTGGCTGGTAAACTGATTTTTATTCCCTTCCCTTTGACTGAGATGTGACAAATCCTTTTCAAGGCGAGAACCTGTGCAGCCATTCTGCTGATTAGAATAACTGAAGTCCTCTATTGATTTCTAACCCTTGCTGCCACCATCCAACAGAGGAGGAGAAGCTATCCAGCCATAGGTTTTTCAACACAAAGCATCTGTCTGAATTCTGAAGTGGTTATCTGTCCTGTGCTTGTCCAGACCCAATGGATCTGGATATTTAGTCATACTCAGTGTTGAAACTGAGAGTAGAAGAGATACCAGTCCTGGTCTCTTTACTTGTATTTTTTGTTCTCTGGGCATTTTATGAAATAGCTTTGACTTTGTTCTACCTGCTTGTTCTCCCCTGCCTTAGTAGCAATGAAAACCCACCTTGTGCCATGTCTGCCTTACTGACTGCTTCTTGTGCTTTTGAGAACTTAGATTCACATGGTTACTGGGTTAATGTTTTCCTTCCAGCAATTATTTTTTAAATGAATGATGAATCACATAAATTGCTAATATGATGATCCTTCCCTCTGTAAGTAAACTTTTCCAGGGCCAGCATCCAGTTAGGAGATGGCCTTTTTTTCCTGTACCAAAAAAACCCCCAAACACAAAACCGAAGCAGGGAAGAAAAAAAAAACAAACCCAAGCCTTTCCATGTTTGCTTCACATTCTGATAAATATTGAATCATATTACAGCGAACTGTATCTCATTTCCTTGGACTGAGTAAACATAACTCGAGAGCTGCATGCTCAGGCAGTAAAAATGTAATGACAAAATTGACATGATTTGGTGTACCACATGGTTAAATTATGGCTTCAGCTAAGTCTTCATAGAGATTTAAAAAACGCAGGCTTTTCCCAGTTATAACAACCCTCTGAGCCAATATTTCACAATGAAGCATGTTTTAAGTTAACTTTCAAAAAAAAGAAGCAGAGTAGCAGTACACAGTGCAAACATGTACTGCATTTTACAGAGGTCCTGCAAAATAGGAAGTACCACAAGAGTTCACCAAAACAAAACAACCTCACAAATTCGTGTTTAATATTTCTATATTTAGCCATTCTGTTACCTTTCTTTGCCACTTAGGAGGGTATGAAGGTGCTTTGTACTGCTCAAAGTATTCAAACTTCAGAAGATTTAATGTAATTTTCTAGACTATTTTCTCATGGGCTGAAGTAGAAGAGAATATGATTGCAAAGAGTTCAAGAAGCTTTGATATATTTAAACAGATATACTGTGATACCTGAAAATAAAGACATAGTCTAATTTTTTAGAATTTTCATAGTATTCTATTTCAGAAGTTGCAGGTAAGACAAACAGCATAAAATGCTTTTGCTCTTGAGCTACCAAATCAGAATTAAATTTAAAATCAGATTAAATTTAATTTTCAGGCTATCCTGTAATAGTAAAATTTTACAGATTTTCACTGCTGTAAATACCTATTTCTGTAACAACTTTATAATATGGATGTAAATATTGTCTTGGGCTCCAAAATATTTGCTTTAGGAAAATGGTAAAATACAGGCCAAATCTGACATGCCTTCAATTCCATTGCTTACCTCCTTTTTAAATCTCTTTGCTCAGGGTAGAACTTTGCAGGGAAGAAGTTTGGAGCAGTAAAATACTGACTTTTTTTCTCTCAGTTCATCTCCTATCAGCTTGATTTTTATTTTTTTTCCTTAAAATGCTCTCATCCTTTGCTCACCAGTGGAAACCATAATTTTCTCAGTAGCTTTTGAATATTGTTCTTCTGGCTTTCATTAATCTCATTCCAGTCTTTCTTTTTGCCAGTGTTACACTAAAGCTATTGAATAATTCCAGTAAGGAATGTAAAAGCACAGGGTTGTTAAATTGCTATCTTTTGGTGTCTAAACTGTTGTCTTGCTTTTAATAACATTTTACTTTTGATAGCACTTTGCCTTTAAAATTGTATTTAGATAAACTATAGTTTCTAAAGTGAACACTTTGCTCATTGATTATTTTTGTTGTAGTCTGTATTAAAAACAGCAGGTGGGTGGTGGTTTGGAGGTTTTTTTGGGTCAAATTGTGAATGATTCTCACGTGACTGAATGGTGTGTACTGGGTCATTGCTCCCACACACCACCTGATCTTTTGTTTGTATCTCCTGTGTTGCAGTCAGAGCACAGGGAAACCCCCACATCCCTTCCTGTTAGCATCACATTCCCCCACCCCTCTCTATCAACGAGTATCCAACAAATGACAGGGGCAAAACTGAGTTTGGGTTATTGTTCTGTTTTCTGGGCATCAGCTGTCTGCAGAGAAAAACCCTTGCAGCCACCTTTGTAGGGGAAGGAGGAGAGGGACCAGAGAGGATTAAAAATCACATCTGTGTGTCAGGAGTTCTAGCAACCCAATGGAGCATGAGGTGGTTTAGTTCAGCCCAAAGTAGAAGGCTGTTATGGTGTGATTTTTGCCTCTTCTGATAACATGGCATAAATTTCCATAGCTGAACACTGCAGAAGTTGGTCACACCTTGTAAATACTATTACCGTGTAATTAAGCCATGAGGCGTTCCCTCCTGGGATCATAATGTGACAAAAAACAATGATAACAATCTGGAAAGATTCTGGAGTTTTTTTTAATTCAGACACAAAACATGGAAAGATCAAATTCTTTCCAGGCTGAGCTAGGTCTTATTTAATGGTATCTTATTTGGCTGCTGGATCAATGGGCCATGAATAGCTCAATCAATAATCAGTCTAGCAAGAGCTATCACATTTTTCTTCACCTTGGTACGCTCCAATGCAATTAAATAACAAGTGTGAAGGTGGGCAAACAGTAGTGTGAATGGAGGATAATTTGTTGATGTTTTGTCTTTCATAGGTTGAGATATTCCAGTACAAACACCTGCAGGATTTTGTTGAGATTGTCAATAGTTGCTTTGTCAAGGTTTTCTTCTGTGTCCATCATAGTATGCCATACTGCAGGAAAAGGGGATGGAATCAGATGCAGGACTTGAACCCCTATAAAAAGGAAAGTGAAATTTGGAGAAGAAATATTTTAGGAGTTCTGTTAAGCCAACTGATACTTCACCATTTAGCAACAGAGTCAGGTAACTTCTCAATAAGCTTGCTTTAGAGGGTGTGTCCCTGCAGCTCCCTTTACCTTCTCTTGTTTTGATGCTTGTGACTGCATCCCATCATTAAAATGTGTTGTGTAAATCTGCCACCTTCCTTTCCTTTAAATATTTTTCCCTCATTTTTTTTCTTTTTTTTTCTTTTTTTTTTTTTTTTTTTTTTTTTTTTTTTTTTGTTTTTTTTTTTTTTTTTTTGAGATTCTTTGCATTTTGTCTTTAGGAGCTACAGAAGGACAGCGAAATCACTGCAGCTCCTCAAAAAGAAAACTGATTACCATGTTTTTGTGAAAGTGTTAAGACTGAACGTTTTTGAAGCACTTTTTTAGTTCTCTACATAAATGGTAAAATAGGGTGTCTTATTTTTACTCTATAAAATAGAGACAGTGTTGCCCTCAGTGTGTGTGTGTGTGTATATATATATAAGGTATGTATGCACACACATTAAGCCGCCTATATGTACTGCAGCTTGTAGGCAAAAGAGGAATTAAATCAGTCTTCTGCTTCCCGATTGCTTTTGGGGAGGAGCACTTTTATTTTCTCAGCCTCTTTCCTGTTTTACTTCTTTTTCTCTCTGATTTTTTAGCTGCATACCACTAAGGAATCAATTTTTTTCATTAGGTTTTAAGTCAAAGTTCTAAAGTTGGATTCAGAATCCTCAAGTTGGGGCAAATAAGCTTGAAAAACAAGAGCTTATGCACTTGCTCATTTACTAAGTGATGCATTTCTTAGTGAGCATGTACAAATTATAAGTATTTCTATCACCTCTTAACAAAAATGGAACATGATCATCTTCAACCAAGCCTCGATGTAAAGTACTGTGGAAATACTGACTTCCAGCATTGTGATTCTTCAGCAGATTCATGTTGTGTAGCTTTTGCTCTGTAATGCACAATGAAAGTGGTTATTACAATTTTTGGACAATGAAGCATGTTAGCACGTTTGAATTATTATTCCTCACACACGGAAGCTTTTTCCATCAGAGAAGAAAAAGGCAGCAGTGACTGTCTTTTGCATTTGTTTAATACTTGGAAGACCTCAGGATTGGTGCTATTACCATCATTTTACAGAAGTGAGAACAAAAACACAGAAGTGAAGCAGTTGCCAAGTGTCACAGAGTGACAATCAGTAACAGAATCTGTTTTGTTGCTTCCAAATGTCTGAGAGTCTTCCTCTGTTGTTTTATTAACTAAGTATCAAAATCTTCATATAGGTTTAAGATTTCACATTTACATTATCAAAGATTATTACTGCAAACCAGAAAATTAATCTAAAAATCTGATTCACAGAACCTAATATATTCAGAAACTACTCACTAGATTTTGAAATTCATTCAAAACCCATATCCTTCTGCTTACCAATTGCTTGAAGCCTCTGAAACCATCGGAGAGTGTTTGGAAAATAATTGGGAAAGACTGGGTTTGGCGCACCAATTAAATCCAGTAGTACAAACAGGTCCTAGACAAGAAAGAATCTTTAGTACAGAATGCTTTCCTATAACATCAGCAGCAGCAATGAAACTCTTGGTTTCCTGTACAGGTCATGAGCAGGTCTTTGCTAGCCCTGGCCAAAGATGTGCCTTTCTACCGTGGGGCCTGACAAGAATTCACTAGCAGAACCTGATTCCAATCTGATACTGATACTTTTGCTGTCTTCCCAAGGAGGGAAAGGCTGGGCTATTCCTCTGTTCCTGGAGCTGAAGCAGGCTGCATAGCTTAGCTTGCAATTTGTGCGTTATATCTCTTTAAAAGAAAAACAACAGTAGGTGGGGAGAAAGAAGAGGAAATTGCTTTTTCCCCTGAGAACAACAAAGTCTGTCAAGGGAAAGACATTTTATGAGTCACAAGAAGCAGTGACAGAAGAGAAGTGCCTCAGCAGTAAACAGGGAAAGTAGAAGGGAGCAGACATCCAGAATGTTAGTAGGAATCAGAGAAAAACAGAGGTTGCTGTAGCTTAGTCCTGAGCTAGGGGAGATTTGTTCATAGGCCAATGCTGTTTGTGCTCTTTCCCTATCACTTTGAGTTATCTTTTCCTGAAGAAGGTGGGTATCCTAGTTTATATTCTAATAAATTGTGTATTGTGATATTTCTGTGACTCCTCCTTGTACTTACATGCTGCTGAAAAGCTCTTGCCAATTCTCTATCATATCTCATAGTGTTTCCAGAAGCCTGCTTCTTCCTTTAACTTTAGTGGGGTCGTGGTTTCTTGGGAATTTGACCAGTTACCTACTAATTAAATATTTTTTAAAATGCCATTTGCTATTGTTTCTTAAGGAGGAAAGTCCTTAAAAAGGGGAGAGCCACTTACTATGCCCTGTAGCTGGTTGGTGGTTGTTGAACCAGGTGGGTGTGGAGTCGATACCATTTTTTGAGCTAAGTGTTGAGATCCATAGAGGGAATCGGAAGGGGACCACCGAACAAAGGCTTCTTCACCATCAAAAAAAATGAGCTGAAGTGAAAGGTCTGGTCTTGACGTTGAGCTGGCCTGTTGGAGGAAGTTAAAAGTCAAAATAACTGATTCTGGGCAGAACACTAAATAAAGGGCAAATACTGTAGTCATGAAAGTAACACAAATAAGGATGTATTTTCCCTATGCAAACCTTCCTTTGGATATTATTACGGTGTAATCACTCAAGGTAGTTGTTATTTATCAGTGACACATTCTCCAGTCTCATAATTTTGGTTCTGGATAAAAGTTTCATTTCTGACTTGGGAGGACATGACCTGAGTGTTGAGATCTGCAAAACCAGGTAGCAGCAACATTATCTCAAATAATGAGGAGACATGTCAGTAACAACATCTGATGTGAGTGCTAATATTATTATTTGATTGCATCACAAGGATTAATATAATTGCTACAGCTGTGCATCAGCAGAGGTGAATTATGTATTTGACAAGTTGATGGTTCTTTGAGCTCCTTCTTTTCATTCAGGGGAATTTCCAATCACTGAGGCAACTTTGTGCAAAACCAAAGCAAAGAGAATGGGTATGTCAGATATGTCTTTCCCTTTCAACAACCAAAATATAACAACATTAAAACCTGAGAATATATATGATAAATGTATTTGTTGTCACAAAAAAAGATGTTTGTATGAAATCTCTTCAAATGTAGAGGGAGTCTACTATCTGAAGCCTTGTTTGAACTGTCAGAATTTCCTAATAATCCACAGCACAGCAAATCCCAGTCTGGTTCCACTAAATGGAACTACAGTTTTGGGAACTGTAGTCTTAACAGTTGCTATAAATATTTTAAGCCCTCTATGAATTAACACTACTTCAAGTAAAAAATTGCATGATGTGGTTAAAAAGGTGGGGTCACTGGCAGCAGTCATGTCCTGTATGGGCTACAACTCCCAAATAGCTGCAGCTGATGCAATATAAACAGAAGCTTCTATAAAATGTCGGTCATGCAGGCAAGATGGCATTGATTGTGCTCACAGTGGTGTATTGATTTCTCTAATGGCAATGGTTTGCTGCCCTTTGTATGTGACAGAGCTCTGTGGGCAGCAGTCATTTTGCATTACATTCTGGAGAAAATTGAATCAGTGCTATTTGAGTTTTAGAAAGTAGTTACTTGTGTTGTTATTACTATTACTGCTTAATACATTTTAATAATGCAGAGAAGAGTCTTTGCCCAACAATTTAAAGCTTACTCTGGAGAAGTAAGTTATAACTGGAGAAACGTCAAGATAAAAATCACAATTTCAAGTCAAAGTATGAATAGATTTGGCTGAAAACATAGCATGTTGTGCTACCATAAGCAGAGCAAAACCATCATAACTAATGTATTAAGCAGATGGATCCCAAAATATATTTTGTTAACAGACTGTAAATGTGAAAGCCTGTGAAAAGTAATTAGTTGCCTTTTGTCAAATGCCGTCATCTTAGATGATAAAAAACAATTTTCACTGTAAAATAGTGTATTCGTAGTGAAAAATGCCAGTCTTTAAAGTCAGTGTGCAGGTAGTTTCATAAATAGACACCAAGCAAATTTATTATAAATGAAGCTTCTGAATGAAAGCCTATGTATTACAGGAGTTTTTTGTTTTGTGATTAAAAACATTGGCATAGTCTTCTTCTCATTCTTAAATATTCACATATCAGAAGGCACCAAATCAGTTTCTGGAAACTCCTGTTGACAAGTAATCCTAATACTTGAGCTGAGTGTACTCCTGACACTTTATAAAGTGTCTGTCATATTTGAGAGACCTTTCCTGTAACAGCTCTGTAAACGTATGAGAATTATTTTTCTGTAAATACTGAATACTGAACCAGTAGATGGCACTCGTGAATCCGTAATCCTACCAATTTGTAATCCTACAAGCTTTAAGAGTTTGTAGGCTCAACAGATTTTTGTGCCTAGCCACTGCAGCCCTTTGAAACAGATTTTCGTAGCATAGGTAACACAGACTGACAACATTATACTCCTTTCATAAATAAACCATTCAAATTTGTAAAAAAAAAAAAAAAGAAAAATTGAAATCCTTGTGGGATAGGGGGACCTGAGTGTGACTCTTCTGCAAACAGTGTCTCAAAGCAGAATACAACTTAGAGATTTCTGCAGGATTCAGAATGCAACAAAACTTTTCAATGACCCTAGATGTTACTGGATAGGAACTTCTGCATCAGGTTCTGTGCCTTTTAGATAGAAAGTAGCATTATGTCTTTCCAAGTCTATGAAACATCTATTATTCATGTATAATTTGTTATTTTTATATGGTGTATGTTTATATAGATAACTTTTAGATATCTGCCCTTTTTATAAGAAATTTTAATGTGATAATGTACTTTAGAGTAGTAGATACTGATCTCTGCTTGTTCTTGGAGTCAGTGGGAGATTTATTACAAGCACAGCAATCAGGGAACCCAGCATGCAGGCTATGGAAAAGAATGTGGAAATGCCCTGAGGCCTGTGGCTGTTGGAAAGGCAAATGAAAATGAAACAAAAAAAGTACCTTGATTAACTGAAGCTGGTTATCCAGGGCCCGTGCCAGCTCCAACATCATGGCACAAGGCACAGCTGAATCAGTTGCTCCCACAAACACTCTGCCCTGCCATTGCTGTCCAAAGAATTTTGAGTCGTAGTGGCAAGCAAGTACGAGATGGCGTTTTGCAGAGGGCTCAAGAGTGCCAATAATATTGGAAAATGTTTTATAACCATATGGTGTGTACTTCTGAAATGTATCTTCTTCAATTTCCCAACCAGCCTTTAATGTTTGAAGACGGTGCTTGATATGCTGCAATTATAAAAAACAATCAGATTAGTATTTCTTGCTTCAGAAAGACGTTGCAGACAAACTATTATTAGCTAATTATTATAGCTAATAATCATTAGCTAATTATTTCTGTAAGTTCATGGTGTTTTAAAGGATAAACTTTATAGCAAAACATATAATATCACTTTATAACTTTGCTACCTGAGCCTTTGACTGCCTCATTTGCTATTAGTTTCTTCCTTTTGATCTTTCTCTTTGGAGTGTGAAGGTGTTTTGAATTATTGCCAATTATTATGACACATTAAGATCTTGATCTCTGAAGTTTTCAGGCCAGTGTCTTTTGCAGGTGTAACAAGAGCAGATTTAATGTTAATATCTTCAAAACTTAACTCAGATGTGCCCTTAAAATTGAAATTCAGGATTGGCTGCAGAGACCTTGTTCCTTGTTGTGGCTGTTTAGACAATTACCACACAGAGATGCCACAGCAGTATAAGGAAAAAAAAAAAGCTGTTTTGGTTGGTTGGTTGGTGTGAGGTGGTTGGGCTTTTGTGAGAAATCTGCCTTTCAAGTGATATAAATTGTTTACAAGGCAATAACAGATAGGTAGATTCCTTTAAGAAAGAAGGAAACATTACAGAACAGCATTTTAAAATTGAAATTCTGTAAGTATAGCTCATGTAAAGAGAAGAATTGAGACAATCTATAAGGCAAATCATTAATTTTAGCTATCTTCCTGCCTGAAGATAATACCTCTAACAACCCCAGCTATACTTCAACCACAGTTCTGGCTAACTCCTATTAGAGGGACATCTCTGTTTCTCTGTTAAGCAACTTATTTTTATGGGTCCCTAGAGGGCTTCTTCAAGGCAGATTCCTCCCTCTTAAAGTAAACATTAGGAAAAGCCTCTGAGGGGAAAACAGACATTGAAGACTTGTTCTACTCTTAGGGAAGTCAGTAGGAATGACAAAAAACAACAATATTGCCGTAGATTTTAGTGCTAGAGCAAACTTCTATTTTGTTCATGATCATACTCTGAAAGCTTTTACAACATGGTATGGTCTATCAGCTATCAGTAGGCAGAGTTAAGGATTGAGGGGACCGTATAAAACTGGATGGAGTTCCCAGTATCCTTTTTCCCTTAAGAGTATGATGATTTTGTGTCTCAACAAAGACAAAAACTCCATTATTGTGTTTTGACAATAGAGGACTCTTATTTTTTTCCTTTGGTGAGGGGTCTAATTTAATACATGCTGTTACCTTGTAACAGGATGATCCTATTTTGAACATAATCTGTGGTTTTCTAGCCTAGGCTCAGCTGTTTTTTTGTTTTTCTTCCTTTTCCCCCTTTCACTTGGCTGCCTTCCAGAGTACTGCTAAAGAAACCACAAAACTAAATCTACAGAGATGTGCACACACACACACAATGCATAAAAAGGCTGGATTTTTCCAATCTACCAACTGCAGGGTAGCAAATAAATTTATTGTAGCTGGGGCTGTCTTAGAGCTGTTGAGTCAGTGCCCAAAGGGTAGATGAAGGCTGGTGAGATGATGAGAATGTCTTTAGTAAACTCAGCTGTACCATTGTCCGTCTCCTGCTTGGTTAATGGGGTCCGGAGCCAGCACGGACACTGCCCTAAGGTGCTCACGCTGTGAGTGCAGGGCAGAGGTGCTGACAGGGCAGCACCCCACTTGTGTGGTAACTTCTTGAGGCTCAAAGACAACGTGCTGGAGTCTTTACTGCCTTGGGGCCAGCTGCAGCCTGGGTTTGTCAGTCCAGCACCAGGACACTGCTGTGCTTGGGCCAGTGGAGATGGTGTGGTTTGTGGACCAAGGCTGCGCTTTGTCCTGCTGACCATTTCATCTGCCTGCCCCTTTGGGCCCCTCTGATCCCCTTTTGTGTTGACACACCCATCTGAAGCAACACTCCAGGGCATTGTAACAACACAGGACAGGGCCTCTCCAGAAAAAGTGGTGGGGTGTAATTTATTTAATGCCATGCATGGTCTTGGGTCTGAACCAGTGACCAAAAACCTGCTCATGTGAGGGAAAGGACAGCCATTGTGTTGTACTTTGGGTACCAAACCTGGGGCAAACTTGTTAATTTAAAACGTGGGGGTTTTTTAAAAAAAATTCTTATTTTTCATCATGCTCTGCAGCCCTGGGAAACAATGTCAGCTGATGTGCAAGCTGTGTCATGTAGGCACTATGGGGTCTAGACTTGAACAATTGTAGAGTTCATCCTACTGAATTAAAGGAATGTGCCTGTCACTTCTGTGGGACTGTCTCTTTGGTGGGGGTCAGCAAAGATGTTACCAGAATATAAATATTAATAATTATAATAATATATAGTACAGATGTTCTTAGAGATTGTTCAGGAAGTGTTGTCTTACCTGTCGCACGATGTAACTTCCTTGTGATCCCGGATATCTTTCGATCAGGATAGGGCGCAAATCATTCTCCCACATTTCAGAAATATCTGTGTTGGCCACAACTTTTTGAATAGCATCAGAACCTAAAATTCTTGGTTGGTGAGAATACTGCAGAAGGTAGAGAGAAAAAGAGTGCTATAACTATTACTAGACCTTTTTAACCATAGTTTTCTTCAGAATTACAATAAAAATGGTATATTGTGCTACTTTGATTTATTCCCAAAAAAACATAATTAAAAAACCCTTTTCACTCCGAAATGATTGGCTTCCCTATCCTTCATTTCCATGCAAAATATGCTTGTATTTAAAGTATGGGAGAAAGTTTTACCTACCAGCTAGCTGTAAAACCTGAACCTATGAATGGGATCTGTGTTTCCTAATATCTTAATTATACATGTCATGTCTGCAACCACACCACCTTCAACTGAGGTTTCTATTGAGACAAACACCAGAAGCTTTGTTTCCAGTAGTAATAATATTTAGCTTTATGCTGTGTACTGCAAAGAAATGCCTAAGGTAACTCACTCCCAGAGGGAGCGAGCTGTGTCATTGTGGTCTCTACCCACAGTGAAAGAATGGGTGTGACTGCAAAGAAAGTGGCTTGTCTGGGGCTAGCTGGGACATTGGTCCGCTTGGTGACACATGGGTTAACCTCAGTTCCAACAGCTGTCTCCTGTGACAGCCACTAATATGTGACCTACCTCCCTTCCTCCCAAGTGACTTCCTTTCTGTTGCCCAAGCGCAGGCCTTTGGGGTTGTATCAGGTGACCCAAAATGCTTGAGACATCCTTATGGAGCTGCCAAATGCACATCTTAGATCTGCAAGAGCTCCATAGTGCTCTGGAGTGGTAGCTGAATGCCAGGTGGAATTCCCAAGGACATCTCAAATGCCCCTTTATACACCAGGTTTGAACCTATCCAATCTCTAGCAATTGTCTCCTCAGAAACTTCCTGTGCCACTACTGTTTTTACAGATTCCTCATTTATATCACAGGGTCTTCCCTCTACTCCTGTCTTTCTCTGAATGAAAAATATTGCTTTGTTTATTTCTTCTTTGATCAGAGCTGCCTTACATGACTGATCAGACTTGCTGTCCTTCCATGTACCTTGTCTATGTCGTCCTTTCTGAGATGAGCAAAAGAAGAGAAACTGGAACATGAGCACATCATAGTTTATAGTGGAGGACAATGGTATTTTTTATTCTTTTTCTTTCTTCAAACTGTTTAACAGGTGACTTGCTTTTGGGCTGCTCCTGCGTCAAACTGACATTTTCATAAATATCTGTAGTCTAGCCCTATCATTGTATGTGTTAACAAGAAATTATTCACTCTCCTTTTCTTTCATGTGTGTCATTTCATATGTGTCTGAAATAACACCTAAAACCCATTACCTGGCCAGAATGTGAACTGACCTCAAAAGTCAGGTATCTTCTTACCTTAGGTGATGAATATTGTTTAAAAATGGGAGTTGCCTCATATTTGACTTTTTTCTACTTCATTTGTGTTTGTACAAGCATGAGTATTTTCTAGACTTCACCGCAAATATTTAATTCTACCTTTCTCTTGTTTCCTAGCTGTTTATCTCCATGTGAATCTTTCCCCTAATTCCACTTAGGTTTAGCAGTGAAATTAAGCAGAGGGCTGACACAAAGATACTGAATCTAGTTGTGCCAATTTTAATGCAGTGTTTAAAGCTGAATTTTAAGACTGTAAGAACACCAGCATTTAGGATGGGCAGTTAACATTTTTAATGCTAGCAAATTTAGACATAGATTAAAGAGAAAAGAAAAATTATATAATTTCATCTGATATAAAGATGAACTTTTGAAAGTTTGGAAATTATACCTTGGATGTTGTAAGACACTCTTTTGAAATACTAGAAGTTTAATAAGGTGGAATGTAGACCACCTTATTAAAAAGGCACAGAGAAGGGAAAATGTCAGGGAGCTGTTCGATTTAGGAGGAGCAGGCTGTAAGGGGAGAGTGAAAAGCTAAAGCTATGTACTTTGGAAGAGTGTAGGAGGACAATTTAATTAAGGAAGTTCAGAAAATCTGCAGTTGAACAAGAGAAGAGCATGCCTGGTAACTGGGGTCATCAAATCACTTGGCAAAGAAACATTATTAAAGTACAAATGCATGAAAATACTTCAGAAGAGAGGAATCAATTTCCACTTCTAGTAATGGAGATATCTTCAAATTTGGGAAGTGAGAGGAGTTACAAAAGTGGTTATGAAATAAAAGATACGCAAAATAAGATTTGTAAGTGACTCATTCTTTACAGTGTTGGTCAATCCCTGTTTTGCCACAACAGGGAGGCAGAACAATATATTAATGAGAGGGTTGTCACTAATCCTGTTGTACTAAGCTGTATAAAACTGCAAAACTTCGAGTTCCACAAGTAGCCCAGGCTTACTTGAGGACTTTGAATTTCTGGCTCGCATGTCCCTCCAGGGAGAAAGAACAAAAGTTGTCGAAGGACAAGAATTTGATGAGGAAGAGGAAGTTGTTCTTGCTTAGTGTGTGCACAGGCGGAGGAGCTCAGGTGTGATGGCTCTGTGGCTGGATGGCACTACTGACAGCGCCGGCCAGGAGACTGACTGCTCAGACTGGGACCAGCTAAAGAGGGAAGTGCTGGGGCTCCAGGGGGCTGCAGAAGGGAGACTGGGGCTACGTGATTGTTCATTGACCAGTGTGACTAAAGATTCAGCCCCACATGTATATACTATATATGTACAAATACATGTATTGTGCATAATTACAGATGTATTGTGTTACAGATATATTGTCTATACATGAGCTATATATATTATATAGTGAGCTATACACATATATATGTATGTAGTGTAAGATGCAATAAATAGAACAGAATGAAACAGTATCTCATTAACAAACAAAGAAACAAGCCAACATTTCCTTGAATGGGGGCGTGAATAAAATCAAGGAGAAAGGGAATTACTATGGGGAAGGTTGTGAGGGAAGCTTCATTTTACCAGCTTGTCCTGGACTCTGATCTATTGGTGATGAGAATGGTGCACTGGATTTGTGGAATTCAGTTGCTTCTTGCTGAACTTTGACTTCAGCTCTTCTACAAACACTTGGGGAAGGGCCCTAAAAGTATATTTTCTGTTTGGAAATTCCTGAAGTGTTTAGTTGAATGTGGGTTGCAGCTTTATGCTCTCCTACATTTCATGTGGTTTAATTCTTTATGAAGAAAACTATGTTAATGTTTCATAATAGTACACTAAGAGCTGCTACATTGAGAAATCTGTGGTTTAAAGCTTACCACTCTTTAATTAAACCTTATCTCAAGGTTCCTTTTTTCACTAGTTCACGCAGCAGTCTAAATTAGACACAATATGGTATGAGTCTACAATATATTAGAGCATTATATCTTTTCAAAACAATTTCGTACCGGCTATCGGCACCATGCCTACTTGTTTTTCCTAGATACACGTGCATTGCTGCTGAAAGAGCTATTTGTCTTCTCAAGCTAAGTCACTGTCCTCTGACTCACCACCATCACAACAAAAGTTGGAGTATAGTAGAATGTTATAAGGAATACAATTTCAGATTTTGATCCGTCTTGCCCTGTTTGGGTTTCCCCTTAAATACAGTATCTGCCCCTGACAAATCTTATCGCTCTTGCTGCCCGGTCCCAGGCGGTGCGAGACGACAGAGCCAAACGCGTGAAGAAGATCCGCTCTCTGCAGCCACCGAGCTCGGGCTCAGGAGAGAAGCCATGCCACCCACCCTCACCTGCGGGACCGCGCTAAGGGTGAGCCCAGCCCGGATTCACCTTGGAGGCCAGGGCAGGATGGATGGGGCCGTCCCCGCGCCCAGCCGCTGACCCCTGCCCGCCGGGAAGGCGCTGCCCCCAGTACCAAAGGAGAAGCAAGAAGCTCCTGGGAAAGGCAAACGCGACCCACCTTCTCCAGGGTCCACGGCGCTCCGGCGTCCCTCCCTAGCGCCGGGGACAGGCAGGCGGCGAGGCACAGTGCCCCGAGCAGCCGGGCAGCGACCCCCGCCATCCCTTCCCTCCGCCTCGCCGAGTGCCGGGGCAGGAAAGGAGAGAGCCGCGGCTGTGCCGGCCGAGGAGGCGGCACGGAGGAGGCAGGAGGAGGCGAGGAGGAGGTAGGAGGAGGCACGGAGGGAAGCTCGGAAGGAGGCAGGAGGAGGCACGGAGGAGGTAGGAGGAGGCACGGAGGGAAGCTCGGGAGGAGGCAGGAGGAGGGAGGCTTGGAGGGAAGCTCGGAAGGAGGCAGGAGGAGGGAGGCTCGGAGGGAGGAGGCTGCGGCAGGAGCGGCGCTGGCTGCCGGAGCCGCAGCGCAGGCAGTGTCCGTGGTGTCCGTGTCTCCCCCCGAGCCCAGCCCGGCCGGCAGCGCGTCAGCAGTGCCAGGGGCTGCTGCGCCCCGGCCCCCTCCCGCCGCCTCCTCCCCCGGCCGCCGGGCAGCCAGGGCGGGCGGGCACTCGTGATTCCCACCGTGGGAAAAGCCGGAGCCTGCGGCTTTCCCCTGAAAGCTGGTTTTGTGTTCCGAGGGGCAGCTCGTGATCTCTCGGCCTTCGGGCACCGGTGGGAGCCGGGATGAGGGAGGGCTCTGCGGCGCTGTCCCGCTGGGAGCCGGCCGGGAGCAGCGCTCGGGGCCGATGGAAGCTGGGAGCGGGCATTCCTGAAGCGTGTGACAGCAAGGACCTATAGAATTGAGAAGGGGTTTAATTCATTCATTTACAAGTTCTTGTTATTATCTTTTTCAGGCCTAAAACAACAACCTTTGCTAAAATGAAAACCCACTCTTCAGGCGTTTTAATTTCTGTACTTATATTATCAACTAAGAACACAGCAAAATCTGTGGTGAGGTGGTATTTTGCAGTGCACCAATATAACTTAATAAACCAAAGATACAAGTTTCTGAGCTCTTGTTCTCTTGTTTAGGTGATTTGACATCACCGTTTTTGCTCTAGGATGTTGTAGAAAACATCTGACTATTCTGAGACTATATTTAAAGTCTCTGACTTTTACATATTTCTTAAAATTCAGGCTTAATCTCAAAACAAAATAAAAAAAAAAAAAGAAGAAATGAAGGAGGGAAGCAGCAGGAGTAATCATTTTGCTGCTTGTCAGCCTTGTACTGGAAAGCCTCATCCTAGTAACTAGAGTTTTGCAAGTAAGGGTGATGTTGGAGAAATGGAGTGATTTGTGATTTGCAGATTGTTGACCCAGATTTCACAAGTTTCCTAGAAAAGCTGGTGGATCTGCCACCCAGCATACAGATGACATCTCTGGTGGTGATAGCTTTACTACAGATCCTTCTAGCTGATACTCAGAATGTGGCTGTGTCCAATTTTGTTCATATATGGGAAAACAGAGAGTTAATTTAAATTGGTGCTTTTTTTTTTTTTTTTAGTCATGAAAGTCCACACAGTGCTTTGTTAGGAAATTGTTCCAAATTCACAGCTGAATCACTGGTCTGGTTAACAGAAAGAAATGAGCAATCTTTTGATTACCAAGAAAAATCAGCATGGTTGACAGATTTTTAGACAAAAGCCCCAGCATGTCAGAGATCAAGTCACAGGCAATTAGTCTAAATCCCACTACCAAGATGATGGTGATCCCAGCAGAACTACACAACAGAACAAAAATCTGTTGCCCCTCCATGAGATTTCCTGTGGTTGACTATACAATCCAGATGCTGGACACAATTTCTGGGTGATGCGCCAGGGTTCTCATACAATCATACAATTTAGCAGAAAAGAAAATAAATACTATAGCTACAGGAGAAATCTGACAAGAATATGAGTCAGGACTAGCCAACACTGCTTTTCCCTAAGGGATTGTGGTTGCTCTGAGGGTTACAATTATTTGATAGATTACAAATTTGGCAAGTGTAAAGTCAGATTAAGGCAGTGTTAATATCACCTACATGAGAAACACACATAAAAATGTAAGTGCTTGACCAGATGTGTAGAGAGATCAAACGGGATTTTTTAAGGGCATTACTTTCAAAATTTGGAGTGGAGATGTCCCCTCTCATAACTACCCCATAAAGTTCTATGTCTACAAAGACTGAGGGAACAGCAAAAAGAGTCCATGTAATAGAAATCAGAATGCTTCACAGCTGACAGCAGAATTACATAACTATTTAAATATGCAAACTTAAAAAAAACAAAAAAACCAGAAGTGATGGACATTTTGTTTTTCCAGAGATTTACAAAGGAAAAAATGTGTTGTTTAGTCCTGCTCTGTACCACCTAATAGAAAATGTGTCAACAAATTTCTCAGTGGTCAGCTGTTCTATTACATACATTTTCAACAGTAGGCTTATTACTCTGAAAAATCAAATAGATGTAATCAGATATCATCTAGAGGGGGGAAAAAAGGGTAGTTTAATTGAAGAAAAGCATAGGCAATCTGTGACAGTATGCTCTGTACATCGTCCCTTCCTGTGTCCAGGAGGTGACAGTTGGTGTGACAGTGCCATCTACTGAAGTCCCGACGGACAGTCGATGCAGGCACCTCTGTCCAAGCCTTTTCCTTCTGCTGACCCTCCAACATGTCAGCATTTCAGCCAAGCCGCCCCTGGGAAGCTGAGACCTCGGGCTCCGTCATTGCCTTGGCTATCAGCTCTGGGGAAATGCACTGCCCGGCGCTGCGGGTTTGATGCGGGTTTGATGCGGGTTTAATGTGGGTTCCAAGCAGGTTTAATGCAGGTTTCATGCGGGTTTAATGTGGGTTCCAAGCAGGTTTAATGTGGGTTCCATGCGGGTTTGATGCGGGTTTGATGCGGGTTTGATGCGGGTTTCACGCAGGTTTCATGCATGCCAGTTTTCTCCCGAGGGGGAGCTCCTGCACCTTCCCCCATGACAAATACAGTTTTAATGCTTGGTTCTCCCGACTGGCAGGGAGAGCAGAGGAAGTGTGGTTTGCTTTGAATCCACATAGTAAAAGGTCATTTCCAATCCAAAAGGCTGGATGGGGCTCCAAGCAGCCCCGTCTAGTGGAAGGTGTCTCTGCCCACAGCAGGGGTGTGGGAACCAGATGGTTTTTAAGGTCACCTGCAACCCAAGCCACTCCATGATTCTGTAATTTTGAGCCTCAGCTACGGCGGATTTGCCAACAGCAGTAAGGCAGCAGAAACACTCTGAGATTTCCAGTGCCCAACAGCCTGGGCTGCTGCAGGCTCAGCAATCCGCAGGCAGCTCTTCCAGCCCGGAGGGAAGGGGTGGTGGGGCTGATGGCCACAGAGCAGCACAGGGGCCTGCAGGTGCCTGGCACTATGGGCATCTTGTGGGCTTGAGCAGCTGCTGCTCATCCTGCTTAACTCATCCACTTCTCCTCCTCCTGGGGCTTGCAACAGCGTTTATCAGGCTGTGGAAGCAACCTGCTTGGTGATTTGGGTTAAGGAGACCCTGTTTCCATGGGCTGATGCCTTCTCAGACAAAGCTTTAATATGTGGAAAGTGTGTAATGTGTTAGGTTTACCCTAAACACTTATTTAGGAAAATAACTTTATTTTGGAGCTGATACAGTAGAATTATACATATGATATGAAAGAAGCTACCCATCCAGCAGATGAAAGGATCTATGAGGTCATTCCTTAAACTGCAGAGGGAGGGTAAGTGGATTCCAAAACTCAACTACCTAAAATTTTAAATACAAACATTCATTGTGTTTAATTTAAAAAAAAAAAAGTCAAAAATGTATGTTTATACCAAGGTAAATTTTGATTCTATGTTTATAAGTCTATACTAAACTTTTCACTGGTTTGTTGGGAGGTAAATTTTGGGACAAAGTTCAGTTAAGGGCTCAAACCAAGACGATGAGGTAATTCATAGACATACCCACATTTCAGGATTTTATCCAAACCAAACCTGAGCTCCTAACTTTTTTTTCAGTTCCCTTATGGGAGAAGTTGAGTTGAGAGAGTGAGAAAGAAAAGAGACAATGAACAGAAAAAATAAAAAAAAAAGGGAAAAGCATTTCTATATTTTGTCTATAGAGATATTACGTCCTCTTTTTGCAGACATTTGCTGCAGATCCTAAATGAGGGCAACATCAGGGTCGAAAGCAGTGAAAAATAATCATGGCAGCATGTGCTTATGGAATTTCTAAGGCAAACGCACCAGTAAACTCTTCCAAGACATTGCCTTGAGTATGAAAATGTTTAAAACATTAGATTGGTGAATAGAAATTAATACATTATGCATCCATTTTCAGATATGAAATACCAAATGCTAGAGGTATTATTTTCAAACTGGAAAAACTTGAATAATTTTTAGAGTTATAAAACAGTTCCAAATGCAGTTTGTTTATATAGCCCTTGTGGTCTGTACAGAAAACCAGTTTTTTGTTTATAAAAGCAAATAAATACAATGAAAGTTACCCATTTCCTAGTATCTTGTAGATGTAAGAGAGAGTGATTTGTAAAGCACAGCTGGCTTCAGCAGGGAAAGCTGAGCTGTGAAAGCAAGCTAACCATCTGAGGGAATGATGTGGGCTCAGAAAAAAAGTTAAGAACACTGATGAAATCCACAGGAAATCACTAATTATGGTAGTCATAAAAATAACAACCCGGAATGCTTGCCCTGTCAATTGCTGCAGCCAGGGCTAATGCTGTCATGATGCTGCAATCACAGAGTCAGCTGTGCATGTGCACAGATGGGTGTGCTGCTCCACACACTGATCCTGCATGCAGAGCTGCTTTCAGATGTGTTTTACACATCTTTACAACAGAGATCTTTACAAACAGAACAGGGTTTGGATGCTTCAGCAATATTTGTTCAACAGAAAGTAACACCAAAGAAGTGCTTACAGCAGTTTTGTTTATTTTGATAATTTTATTGATGCTGTCCTGTGTTCTGTAATAAATTGATTTTAACTAATCCATCTTCTGATTTATGAAAAAGCAGCTATTACAGCTTAGGGCAGCAAATTAAATGGCACCAACCCTACTGGATGGTATAAAGCTGAGCTTCTTTACAAAGAAATATAATCATTGCCCAGTGGCTGTGGTAATACCTAATACCCATCTGGTGTTGTCCATAAACAGCTATTTTTAGGGCTGCTACTCCAAATGTGAGAAACTTGCTGCACTTTAAATACAGCAGAGTGT